TAAAGAGAACATCAACAATGGAATTTTCCCAAAAATCCCTTCTTAACCAGATATTTGCCAGTTTTGTATGTTCTACCTGTTCTACATAAACATTTTTATATTTAGAATGTTCCAACTGACCCTTATGTGACATTGAATTTATGTTAAGGTTTAGGTAGTAGAGCCCTATTGCTAAAATAGAAACTATCTTTTGTCCAATTCAAATTTCAAAATGCCAGCCATTTTAATTTTATAATTTAAATTACTAAAACATGGCTGTTTTATGAAAGCACTGTCCTTCGTACGGGGTTGGAATATAAGTATAAAATGCTTATTGCAGTTATACTCAAGCTTTGCGTTTGCAATAAGGGAGGACACAGTTTGATAAAATTTGCTTTTTTTAAATTTACAGTATTCTGTAGTATTACACATCTACCATAGCCATAATGTTCTACCACTTCACCTAAACAATAGAGAAATATAATTTTTAACAATTCGCAAAATATCACAAATTATTCATGAAATGAAAAACATAAACATAACTGTAAAAAATCCTACTTTGACAGTTCTGATTGCAAATCACAGTTTTTTGTTGCTGCTTAGTTCAAATTAGCTGTTTTCATAAATGCAAAAAAAAATATAGTGTTGGTAAATCTTATAACTTTTTAATGCTTTTTCCATATCATGGAACCAACTTTTTTAGTTGAAACAGCTGACTATAGTTCGGCCGCTTAGAAAGCGACCTCCTCCAGCATTGGTTTAGCATTAGCGCGCAGGTCGTTTTCTAAGCGGCCGAACTATAAGTTCTTTAATTCCCTTTATATATGAATACTCATAAGGTTAACATGGGGAATTACAGAGCCACTGGGGCGGAGCCCGAAAGGATTTTTGAGATAAGAATATGCCTTTATGTTAATCGGGAACGTAAGCTATCATCATGCCAAATTTCAGCCCAATCCGTCCAGTGGTTTATGCGTGATTGAACTTCAAACAACCAAACACACAAACTTTCACATTTATAATATTAGTTAGATAAGATAATAAGAACACTTATTTAGAATTTCAAATGACCTATCAAACAACACCAAGTTGAATATGATTGAATGAAAAATAACTGAAGTATTACGATTTTGATGGCAAAATGAGGTGTTTCACAAGGATCGGTTGAATCAATACAGATATTAAAATGTATTTGTAAAAAATATGAAATGATAGATGTGTCAACAATGGGATTTTAGGAAAAAATATGTTTTTTTCTTTTTATTTTGACTCATAGAACCACTTCCCGGAGTTTGGGAAGTGTTTGAGATGTGCAATATTTGGTAGGTAATATTTGTGCAATATTATTGGAGGTGTGAAAATTATTTTATTAAATAGTGAGTCGGTGGCTCAGTGGGTAGCGTCGCGGTAGTGATGGGCGATACGGGTCAATGTATCGATACTGCGTATCGATACGTATCGGAACGTGGTGTATCGATACGTGTATCGTATCGTATCCTCATGTATCGATTTTTATCTGTATCCGATAAAATATCGTATCGTATTGTTTATTTATAAAAAAAAAATACAAATTATCTCAAATATACAAGCTGCATAGACAAATACTATGCTACTACAAGCTTGTAAAGAGGGTTATAATAGGCTATTAATTGAGCGGAGCGAGCGAAGCTCTTATACGTCGACTCTTATGCATTTCGTAATACGCAAACTCCTCCTAGACGGCTGAATCAATCGTTTTCAAATTTTGCATGGTGATAAAGACCATATCGGTGAGTGCCAACATCTATATGGCGTTAAAGAAGTCTCTCAGGAATCCGCCCCACTGGGTCTCAAAGTTTCAATGTAATCCTTATGGAAGCGGTATTTGACACATAAACAAAGACATATGATCAGCTGTTGACTTTTGAATGCAGTACCTAGATAAAGAAATAGCTGATAGCATTATTCCACAGATATTAGAACAGAAACGGTATGGATCATAAATATAATCAAATGACGACACTAGCTTGAGGTTCGTGACGTAGGAAGTGGTGAAGGAAGTAGTAAAGGTGAGCAGTCTGGAGTGTGGAAACTGTTTATGACGATTAGATTTAGGTATCTGCATTCCTAAAATTCTATGGGAAGGGAGGAAAACGGGTCCGCGACGTAGGAAGTGGTGAAGGAAGTAGCCAAGGCGAGCTGTCCGGACTGTGGGAACTGTTTATAACGATTAGATTTTGGTATCTGCAATCCTAAAATGCTATGGAAAGGGAGGAAAAAAGGTCCGTGACGTATGAAGTGGTGAAGGAAGTAGTAAAGGCGAGTTGTTAGGAGTGTGGGATCTGTTTATGACCAATAGATTAAGGTATCTGCAATCCTAAAATGCTATGGAAAGGGAGGGAAACAGGTCCGTGACGTAGGAAGTAGTGAAGGAAGTAGTAAAGGCAAGCAGTCCGGACTGTGGGACCTGTTTGTGACGGTTAGATTAAGGTATCTGCAATTCTAAAATGCTATGGGAAGGGAGGAAAACAGGTACGTGACGTAGGAAGTGGTGAAGGAAGTACCGTAGTCAAGGCGAGCAGTCCGAAATGTGGGAACTGTTTATGACGGTTAGATTAAGGTATCTGCAATCCTAAAATGCTATGGAAAGGGAGGGAAACAGGTCCGTGACTTAGGAAGTGGTGAAGGAAGTAGTATAGGCGAGTTGATCGGAGTGTGGGATCTGTTTATGACCAATAGATTAAGGTATCTGCAATCCTAAAATGCTATGGAAAGGGAGGAAAACAGGTCCGTGACGTAGGAAGTGGTGAAGGAAGTAGTCAAGGCGAGCAGTCCGGAGTGTGGGAACTGTTTATGACGGTTAGATTAAGGTATCTACAATCTTAAAATTCTATGGGAAGAGAGGGAAACAGGTCCGCGACGTAAGAAGAGGTGAAGGAAGTAGTAAGGTGAGCAGTGTGGAGTGTGGGAACTGGAAACCGTTTGTAGCAGTTAGATTAATGTACCTGCAATGCTGAAATGCTATGAAAAGGGTTGGAAACATGTCCACGACATAGAAAATGGTAGTAAGGCTAGCAGTGCGGAGTGTGTGGGAACTGGAAACCGTTTGTAGCAGTTAGATTAATGTACCTGCAATGCTGAAATGCTATGAAAAGGGTTGGAAACATGTCCACGACATAGAAAATGGTAGTAAGGCTAGCAGTGCGGAGTGTGGACAATGTTTGTGGCAATTAGATTAACGTTTCTAAAATACGAAAATGCTATGGGAAGTGATGAAAACAGGTACACAATGTAGGAAGTGGCTTAGGAAGTAGTAAAGTATGAGCATAGTATGAGAACCATCTGTGGCAGTTAGATTAATGTATCTTCAATCCTAAAATGCTATGAGAAGGGAAGGAAACAGGCCCCACGACGTAGGAAGTGGTGAAAGAAGTAGTAAAGGCTTGCAGTGCAGAGTGGGGGAACCGTTTGGGCAGTTAGATAAATACTGTATATCTAATAATTAAATGCTATGAGAAGGGAAGGAAACAGGTCTATGACGTAGGAAATGGTGAAGGAAGTAGTAAGACTTGCAGTGCAGAGTGTTGGAACTGTCTTTGGCAATTACATTAATGTATCTGCAATCCTAAAATGCTATGGGAAGAGAAGGAAACAGGTCCACGACGTAGGGGGTGGTGAAGGAAGTAGTTAAGGTGAGCAGTGTTGAGTGTGGGAATGTATTAATGTATCTGCAATGCTAAAATACTATGGGAAGAGACTGTAGACTGTAGGTTAAAATAATTACGAAACACGAATCGATACATATTTCGATACATGCAATCGTTTACAATAGAAATTTACAACTGAGTTGACAACAGCTGGTTTTTACTCCATAGAGGATTAAAACGATTTTTACTCACAAAGAGTAAAAATGCTACTTTAGACCCGCAACGCATGCACTAAAAACGACTGTTTTTACTGCAGTATTACAAAAATAGCTTATTCCCTATATGGGAAATTCGCTAACAATATAATATGAACCCTTATTGTCGGGACCAAATAAGTTTGCAGTTGAGGGAGGAGCCTATTTACCATATGGTTTTCAATGAACCAATGAGAACGGTGTGGTGTTGCCAAATCTAACAATACCAGCTGATTTGAAAATATAGCTTTGTATATTTTTATTAGTGTTGTCAATGGGTGATGTGGCAACGTCGTACTAGCCTCGTCTTGTGATTGGCTGCCACCAACTGCAAACTTACGTGGTCCCGACAATAATGACTCCGCTCAGTTTTGTGGATGCCTCTGCGAACGCCACCTAGTAACTCATTATATTATAAGACCTTCCTGTGTCTTTTTATTTGTATCAAACATACATACATAACCTCCAAATTCCGGTAAACCCTCAAATTGGAAAACATTTTGTTATTGTTTTCCTAGTTTTTACACAGGGATAATTAATTGAACCAAAAAGTACTAATAATGATGGTGGGTATGCCACATACACATTAAATAGTATAATATGGACAATGAGGGTCCCCACTCTGTGTTCCCTGGTCCCCACTTCCATTAATGGTGGCCCTAGTTTTGAGATTATTTGCAAAACATAGCTGGAAATACATGTTTTATCAGTGTTTTTGAAGATGCTAGGGTAAAATATCAAATTTCCACTACTACTTTTGAGGGGAGGAAGATGGGAAGACAAATTTCTTACCATAAAAATAAGATTTATATTAATAAATAAACAATACGATATTCGATACGATATTGGCTATAGGCTATATTGCGGTCCTTGTATCGATACGCACATCACTACGTCGCGGACTTCGGGCCCAAGGCAGCGATGTCGTGGGTTCGAATCCTGGTCACTGCCGAAAACATCAGTACAGTTCACCTTTGTACTGTACCGGCTCACTCCGTGCTTTGCTGTTAACGATCCAAATCCACGCTCGAGCGGTTAGTCTATGTGGACGGGCAAATGCAAGGTTAAAAGAGGCCACCAACCTCTAAAAAAATGCATTTTATACATAGGTCTTTGTCATAATGCTGCAATGTTGTTCCAGATTACCACAGAAGACGAGGGGGGCATGGAAGAAATGGATGGTGAGAATATTGACTGCATTGTGAGTATTGAAGCAGGGGATTCACCAGAAGCTAAGAATCAATTAGATTGTACCGTGGAAATTTTGGAAGGCTGCGATGAGGCATTTGAAAATCAAGAGGATTTATTAGAGCATAAAAAACAAGTGAATGAAAATCAATCAAAAATTAAAGGTCCAAAACATTCTTGTAGAGTTTGTGGATTGGAATTCAAATACAAGGCCAACTGGCTAAAACACGAAAAACTTCATGACGACATATACCACTTCAAGTGTAAACATTGCGACATAACATTCAAACAGAGAATGGCTCTTAAATCCCATTACATGTACGTTCATGCAACTGAAAAACCATACCAATGTGAATTTTGTGAGAGAGCTTTTAAAACTCTGAACAATTTAAATGTGCACAAAGAAGTGCATCATAATTTTTCTGGGGAGACGTTTTCTTGTGACTTTTGTCCCATGGAGTTTAAAAGAAGATGTTATCTTAGAAGACATTTACGAACACACGCAAATCCGGACAAAAAGTATACGTGTGCGGACTGTGGGCTGAAGTGCAGATCAAAAACTGATATCGCTAAACATGTTTTGACTCATCTAGGGGTGGTGGAAAAACACTTCTTTTGTGAAATATGTGGTGCAGGGTTCTCAAAACGGGCTCACGTCACGAGACACAGCTATACTCACTCAGTTGAGAAATCATTTGCTTGCCAATTGTGTGATAAAGCTTACAGGGACCAATATTCTTTGAAAATTCATAACGAAACTGTCCACTTGGGCATCATATATACTTGCGAATTATGCGGTTTTAAAAGTGACAGGTATGCAGTCAAAAAGCATATGAAGCGTTGTGCAGAAGGTCAAAAAAAGTTTACTTGTAACGTATGTAGTAAAGAGTACTTCTTGAAAAAATACTTTGAGCAACATGTGTCCAAGTGCAACTCCAAAAGTTAATTTTTATTAAACCGTTAAATTTGTCAACAACAATAAATTGATCAAGAATTAAACTTAGGTTTTGTTTTTTTTAGGAAAAATTTGTACATTTTTATTGAAGAAGAATGTAGTGTGAGCCAGTCACAGAATGTGCTAGGTAGTGTCAAAATTTCTATTTGCCACTATATTTTTGGTGGCTAACTTAGTTTATGGGCTATAAAAGTTGCTATAGCTCACAATAAGTTGTTCTGTCAGTTTGACTTGGTAAATAACATGGTGTATTCAACAGAAATTAGTAATTTAGATCAACGCAAGCTCACATAAAATTCGAAAAATTTAATAAAAAATCTAGCAACAATTTTAACATGGGGATGGAATGCCTAGTATTACATAGAGAAAAATATTGTTTTGATCCAAATCTTGTTGCAGAAATTTGGTGGGAAAATTTGTGTTGTTGCTTTCTAAACCCAGATATAAGTTTTTAAAACTGTGATTGTTGGTAAGTGTTTTGATGTTTTCTGAGCTATGTAAACTGCACCTGTTGTTCAGCTTCATAACATTTGAAATGTATGTATACAATCTACCTTTGTAAGTATTTTAAAAGTTTTGTCTATCTCATACTTACAATACTCTCTTAGCGCAAAAAAATTCTGTTTTTTTTTTTTAAGTGTGGGTTTTATAACTAAACATAATCATTACTTTATGCTTCCTATGCCTGGAAGGTGGAGAGCTTTTTTTATAGAACACATATAGCTAAATTTCATACATTCAATTTTGTAATATAAGCTCCATTTTAATTGTATTATTCTCTTAAATTTTTAATCAATGCCAATTGCTTTAAACAAGGGAGAGTATTTTTTATAATTAGAATATAGAGGTTATAAGTTAGTGTACTTTTAGGTTTAATCTGCTATTATTTTCATTTAAATTTCATTGTGCATTTGTTGATGTTATGGGTTGTTTTCATTAGTAAATTGTTATGTGTTTGTTGTATATGAAATCTCTTAACCTATTATAGTTTGTTTATTCAATTAATAATGTAGGTTTTATTAGGCCTATTAAAACACCTTAAAACTTTTACTGTATTAACATTTATAGTAATATAAGAATGATGTAGCTAAATTTTGGGTTTTTCACTCAAAAATTACCTACTTGATATACAGGGTGTTTGAAAAGTCTGGGTACGGCTCAATATTTATTTAACCGTTGCAGATAGAGCTATACAAGTTGGTACACTGTTACTGTGCAATATACGCTACCCCTCAGGTGGCACCCCACTAGAATTCGGAAGAGAATAATAAACGTATGCATTGGCCAATATTCATGTAGTATAATACAGTGCCGCAAATTTGATGTACATCACAAAGATTCATGTAGCGTTTTAATAGTATGGATTGTTGAACCTGCCAATGCTAAAATAAAGAATAGAAAAATTAAATATCTAATTTTCATCATAGAGTACCCTAAATCTTTCAAATCGATTATATAAATAATATTATCATTGAGTTGATGGGAGCTCCATAGTAGACTAAACATATCATATTAATGATCATGACTACCTTAAGGTTTTGTGATAACTATTATTTGAATATATTATATATAACCATGATTAATTATTGGACTTGTAGAGTGTAAACTTTAAATTTTAAATCAAAAGTAGACTTGGATTGTCATAAGCAAGACACTGCTTTAAACTTTGTCAAGATTTTTACACTTTCATCCCAAAAGGGTACGAGGACCACACTTTGTAAAGGTACTAAGGCTGGTGAAAAGATCCACAAGGGTTATTAATTTCCCTATCCTATGTAGTTCAGAACCTACGCAGTTAGGTTACATGAAATATTCTAAAGGACAGTTAGTACTTAGTTTAGTAAAATATTGATGGCATGTTTTACTATTTTCATTCTGTCACCTTTTTCAACTTTCAATAATTAATGTTGCTATTTAAATTCAAAATCTCCCACTTAGGTACCCACCTTCCCCTCTCCTAAAAAACAGATCAACTGTCTACTGGGATATAAATCTCCACAAAACTTAACCTTGGGACCTCTGTATAGATCAATTATCTATCAATCATTGAGATGTGGGCGCCACCTTGGTGCTTATTTTAACCCAACAAGATAACCCGTTGCTTGAATTCAAGCAAAACTGAAACATGTAATAAAAAGAATAAAGAAAGAAATATAAACAGCAATCCCTCAATCAAAGAGTCACTCTTAAGTAATTTCTGACTGATTAGAAATATGAAAGATATGTTGTAAAAAATTATAAAAGTAATGTACAATATTTTAATAGATCCACTTTCATACTGCATTGGTTTATTAGTTATCTCCATAGACAAAAAGAATATATAGTATGGTTAATAACCATGGTGATGGTAAATAACTGCCTGACCGTGACCGTCACACTACTTATACATTTGTGCGTATTCAGGATCATGACCTTGAGTAATTAGAGGACCTACAGTACTTTTGGTGGTAAAACGTGTCATGGATCTTGAAATTGTAGATCCCTATGTGATTCTCTCATCTCTAAATGAGGGGACCAATTTGATATTTGACCTAAGTGAAACGTGGCCAAAAAGAAGGCCTCCCGAAATTCGTTAGGTTTAAAATCTAATATCGGCAGCTCTGAATAAGCTACATGGCTCAAAAATTTGGCTTGCCTTAACAGCAGAGAATGGAATGTCAAGCAAGTTTGATTTTTTTATTTTGATGTTTGATTTGATTTTGTCGTCTGTATGCCAGCAGGCCAGTGTTTGTTTATTTATTTGCCGTTAGTTTGTTAATGTCGGTTGTTGTGCAATATTCACAGTCGTTTGATTAATTATGGAAAACACATTGTTTTATTCCATCTAAATCAATAACTGTATCAAAGTTTCAATATTAATTTTAGTTTATTATAGATAGGCTAATTTAAACGACCGCGAAGACAGCTAGCTTAAATACACGTCAACAGTTCATAACCATAACCACAAAGTTGTTTGTCAAAATGACGACGTTCAAATGTATTGATAGTTTGGAAGAAAATTCAGTTGATGTTTATTTAGAAGTTTCCTCTATACTTTTGAGATTGGTTGACAATGTTTTACATTACCCTTCTAATCCCAAATACAGGAAACTCAGGCTTGAAAATAAAGTTGTGTCCACTGTAATATTACCTTCTATTGGGGGTATGGAATGCTTATTTGAATTAGGATTCCAAGAGGTTGGTATATTTTAGTTAGGCCTAGTTAATTTTGGTTCTCTTACTAATCGTACTTAGTAAGACAATTAAGATGAAATGAGCAGCTAGATAATTAAGGAACAGAGAATGCTTATGTAGCTTAAACCCTATGTCTTTTTACCCTTGGAAGGTTGGAAGCAGTTTAGGCCTGATTGTAAAGAATCTCAACAAATAACTTAAAGGCTAGTTAGAGTGGTGTGGGATTGTCAATGACATTGCCTTACCTATTGACCGATAATCACCACAAGTAATGCCATAATTATCTGAACTGTGTCATTGAATGTGTCCTTTGGTACAGTTCCGCAGATAACGTGCGAACGATAAATGTCGATACTTTTCCAATTTGATAACTTATAGGTATTGATTAATACAATTTTTCCTCAATGTTAACATCAAATTGAGTTATGATTTTTCATTGTTTTTATTGATAAGTTAACTGATTAAATAAGTAAATAAAACTATCAATATTTACTTAATCAATAACAAAATTACGTAGGTTAACTTATATTTAAAGAAAAGTAACAAAACAAAATGAGTTAATTCCTTATTATATAGGCCTAGTAATAAAAAACGGCAATTAATGATAAAGCAACAAAGAAATATAAACTAAAAGAATAGCATTAAGGGTCTAACTGGATCAGTTTATTATAAGCTATTACTGCCCAATGATGAATTCAGTAGAACCTTGATAAGAAGTGTCTCAAGGAGATTAAGAAAATACTTGCTATAGACATCCCAAGAACAAAACAACCTGCTCAGGAACGAAAATATCACGTGGTTCGCGCCGGTAGGTGTGGCGTGCCATTCAAACCTGTGCGGCTCGAAATGGCCCAGGGTTCTTTTGTTTCTAGTACATGTCTATAGCGTATTGAGGTGTTCTTCTAGTAGAGGGTCGTGTTATCAAGGTCATTTAACACGTTCGCTACTGAGCGTCGCATATATGCGACGCCGCGGTCATTGCCACAGACCGAGGTATACATTTGAATCTTACACATAGACCGACTGTCACTTGGATAACAGTACACACAGACCACGGGCGAAAACCTGTAAAACAGCGATCATTTACATTTTAATACGCTACAATGGTGTTTGTAAATAAATTATTCTTGTTTATTTGTATTTTTTATAACCTTTTGTAATGTCGCATATTTGCGACGCCCGGTCTACAGCGAAGACAATAATGAAAATTATCATAGTTTTCTTGAAATAGACTAGACGTCGCATATATGCGACAGTTCATTTTTTTGTGTTTTAAGGTGAAAGTAAGTAGAGAAATAAACAGATTATTCAAGAACAGTTTATAACTGAACAAATATAAAAGCTACATAGGATAATGCAGCATACATACTGCATACATACATACAGTGATGCAGAAAAGTAAAGACCAGTTTTTCCACCTATTATATGACGTCACCAATCATCATATCCGCAGACCAAGCGACGCAGTTGTGCGTCAGACATCTCTGTAGACCACTGCAGGGAATTCAGTGCCTTCAAATAGACCACTACAAAGATATGAGCATTTTAATAACATTAGAACCCCGACGCAAATATGCGTCGGCAGTCTATTTTAATGTGACTAGCCGTCGCATATATGCGACGGCAGTCCATGGGTGGAAACCGGCCGTCGCATATGTGCGTCGCTGGTCCATGTGAAAGGAAAATTTCGTACTATTGCAGTAGCGAACGTGTTAAGCTTGCAGTCATGTCATCCAGGTTAATTAAAGCACCGAGCATCTTCATAATGAGTGCATTACAGAACTTGTGCAAACACATGATTTTTTCGTTAATATTGTGTAACTTAACAAATTGAAATAGGTTAAAAATAAGTTGTTATATACTTAGGCCTAATTTATATTAAAAAACACTATGGTTTAATGTTTTTTTTTAGTATATTAGGTATTAGCACGAATACTAGAAAAATACCGAAATGGATCATAAACATAAACAAAATGACGTTGTTGGCCCGAATCCTATACTAATAGCATTTAACATATGTTTTGGCAGTTCCATTTAAGCAATGTTAAATCATGTTTATTTTCGTGCCAAAAACGTCATTTGTTTATGTTTATGATCCCGGTATTTTTCTAGTAATCGTGGGTATAGACTAAGCAACACAAGTAGACTCCTCAACCCATTGTAAATTGTGAAGCTTGTTTTTCGCGTCTGGTTCATATGTCCACACTGATCGCTAAGGTAGACGAAATCTTGTTTCTATTATTTTAGGGTTATTTTCATGATTTCTGCTTTACTATTTGGTTATAAAACTAGAAGACCAGTTACTGTTTATGATTATATCTTTTTTTTTTTGTTAAATAAGGGTTTAAATAACTGAAATAACAAGAAACAAGTTGTAAACAAAATACAACCTCTACAGTTGGAGGTACAGAACTAATAATAAAATTGGCTTCAGCTGTTCCATAAGGATGACAAATCTACTAAGGGAGTATGTTTTATCAAAGGTTTTATCTATGGTATAAGTATTAGGTAGGTACCTATATCATTACAGTACCAACTGTATTAATGTGGTATACATTACTGCACTTGAGATTAAATTATATGGATAATCAATAATACAGGAAATACTTAGACCGCAATGAACAGACACACGATACTGATCTGTCAAAGATTAAAAATGTTCTGAAAATGGGAGTGAAGTAGGGGTCACTTTTTCTAGTCCCATTGACATTGTTTCCTCGAAAACATCCGTTCTGGCTAATTCTTGTGGGAACTGTTTCATACAGTTATGTAGAGTTGTTTTATAAAGGTTGACTTCTCATCAAAACAACTTGTCATAGAGGTTCTGAGTTGCCTCAAGTGTTTGAAAAAGGTGCTTTATTGAGGTTTTTTGAATAGAAAAAGTTATAATATGGGTAATTTAACATTGTGTGTTATAGCTTTTTCAAATGATTTGAAAAGTGCACTTGTGATCGAGGTTGTCGTATCATTGAGGGTCGTGTAAACGAATTTCTACTGTATTTCATTGTCTTACATTTTAAGTTTTACAATTGAGCCAAAAAAATACTGTGGGCTACCGGTACTTGTAATATAACTTATGCTAGTTCATTATGTTACCGTACTCTAAGGTTTAAGTTAACTCATCCAGGCTGAGGAAATTTCAAATATATCATTAACCTTTACAACTTTTATAAAATAAAAGAAAAACCTAATGCAAATGCCCCAGGGGGAAACCAGGGTGGGGCGCCGAAACAAACTTGTAATGAACGTTAATCAACACCACAACCAGAGGCCGCAGCTACGCCTTCTCTACATGCAGTAGTTAATTAAGTTATAAACTCATCCAGGCTAAGGAAATTTCAAATATATCATTAACCCTTACAACTTTTATAAAACAAAAGAAAAACCTAATGCAAATGCCCCAGGGGGAAACCAGGGTGGGGCGCCGAAACAAACTTGTAATGAACGTTAATCAACACCACAACCAGAGGCCGCAGCTACGCCTTCTCTACATGCAGTAGTTTAAGTTAAACTAATCCAGGCTGAGTAAATTTCAAATATATCATTAGTCCTTACAATTTTATAAAATCTAGGCTAAGTTAATTATTTTAACATTTTCTTTTCCTCTTATTCTTCAAGGGCGATGATGCACTATTGCTACCTCCTGAAAGCACGTCGGTTGAAAAGCTGACTCGGTTCAGAGAAGAAATATCAAACCGAAGAAACAAATATTTGAAAGAAAAACCTAATGTAAATGCCCCAGGCGGAAACCAGGGTGGAGAGCCAAAACAAACTTGTAATGAACGTCAATCAACACCACAACCAGAGGCCGCAGCTACGCCTTCTCTACAGACAGTAGTAAACTCGGTAAGCACCAAAGCTTATTCTTCTTATATTAACTTTAAAAGACTATTTATCCATTCTATAAAACAAACAAAATCATTCTTGTAGCCTAAGTGAATTGGCTCTACTTGAGAGGTATTCATGAACTAACATTTAGCCTACACCTAATTAATTCAATTTTATCAAGCCGTTTCTTTGTTCCAGACAAACCAGTTCCTCAACCAGTTACAAAAATACTCCTCCATGGTTCTACAATATGAGCAGGAGGCCACAAAGAGAAAGGCAATCTCGGTTATACCCCTCAACGAGATTAGTGAACGAGTGCAAAAGAGTATGAGACACCACCAGCAAGTAGCTTTAAAAAACAGTGAACCTCTAGACGAGGCTAGCATTCAAGAAGCGTTGTTCATTAATGAACTGATGAAATGGTTTAAAAATGACTTTTTTGAATGGATGAACTCTCCAAAGTGTGACCTTTGCAAATGTGAAAGTCGATTTGTCGAAATGAGTTCTGATCCTAAGGAACTGGTGCATTCAGACCGTGTTGAGGTAGGTAGCATATATTTATAAAAAAGTTTTACCCTAGAATTTAAGTAGGCCTAGGGTCTAGTTTAAAAGTAGGCCTATTAGTTGTGAAATTAAATAACCCCGCTGCAGCAAACTTGCAGACTAAGCTTATTTCCTTTTGCCTGAATAGATTTGTACTAAAATATCACCTTAATAAAAAATGTCATATCTATTCCCTATTTTAAAAACATTAGCTTAACGAGTACCGCACCTTGCTGCTAACAGGGAAAGTAAATAAAGTGTTTTTATAGCTAAAAAACTAGTACGAAATTCAAAATATGTTCAAACAAGTCAACTACAACAGTTTACTTTTTCTTCATAAAAATAAAATTAGAATTTTAAATTTATAACTTTTTTAGAATTTTCTTCTTAAAACCATTAAACAAATGAACCTATACCTATCAAATAGCTATCTAATCTTAAATAATTGATAATTGAAATGATAATTGTCATTTTTATCCGACGATAGTAAATCGGTCTAGTGTTTTGGGGATTTTGTCTTCCTCACTGAAATCACTATCACAATCAGGTTCATCATTATTGTTCAGGAAACGATCAGTTTCAGAAATACGCAAATTATCTTCACTTATAATTATCTTTAACTAGTAAACACGTTGCTCGAAATCAAGCAATTGCAAAGAAGTAAAGTATAAAAGTCATCATAACGTCCAATGAGTTTAAAAGACTTTGAATCGAAAAATAAATAACAGCAATAAAATTATACAGCTGATCAAAATGTAAACAATTATGTTCTTCATAAGGATAACATGGGAACTTTAACAGCCACTGGGGCAGAGCCCAAGGAACTTTTTCAAAAATGTAAGGTCAGTTTGCAAATCTACGCGAAACGCTCTTTCCAATGAGACGTCAGTGGATAAAATCGGTTAAGAAATGGCAGAGGAGTTCAACCGACAAAGTTTAATGTAGCGTATTAATTATATACATTACTTCACACAATAAAAACAACAACAAAGTAAACAAGTTACACACGCTGATAGTGAAATAAGGTTAGTCAGCTGGCGAGCAAAACAATCATAAATCTAGCTGACAACATAACCAAAGTTTGGATATAGGCTAATCAGGTTAGCCAACATCTAAAACTGAAAAATATGTGGTTGTGTTGTGAATAAGTCCCGAGAAGACACGCCAACACTTTCTGTTAGATTTTTTCAGAAATAAGTGAACAGAACCATAGACAGAACGTTGTCAAATATAGACAACGTAACCAGCGCGTGAGTTGGCACTCAGTCCAGCCACCACGTAACCAGCACAAGCTCGTTTTTTTTACACTGGAGCGCACATGGGTCTAGTGGACCCCCAAATAAAAATGGGTATATAAAAAAAGTTTTTGATATTTAGCTCTTTAAACTTTATGGCTGGCGCACACCAGCCCGACCACGACCACGACCAAATGCCCCACCGGTCGTTGTCGTTCACCATGCTACCAGAGCACGACCCTACCACGACCCGGCCAAGGCTACGAATGTTTACGAAACTTCAATGACAAGATGGAGTGTGAAGAAGTGATATTAGTGTGAAGAAGTGGCTGAATGAGTAACATTCTCACTTCCACTAAACATCAGTGTGATCTCCTCCAAAGCTTCCTTCTTCATCCCTATCTGATGGTAAAACTGCTGATAGATCCTGTGAACAGGACCTTTCTTTAGTAGCCATAATAAAACTCTCAGTGTCGAAATTATGTCACTTTTAAAAAAATAAGTCACTTCACAAACCATACAAAAAACAAGTGTTTAACGTTTGATTGATTTAGGGATACTGGGGATTGAGTGATGTACTACTGGTCAGGTCGGAGACAAGTCGGGGGTAGTGCGCGTCATCCCATTACAATGTGTTCTATTTTTGGCTGCAACAGACAGTGAGTCGGGCCTGACCAAACTGAAAGGACTTTGGTCGTGCGACCAGGGTTCGTCCAGGGTCCGACCAGTCGACCAGTGCGCGCTGTTCCATTTACGCCTATTATAAAACTAGTCGTATCCGACCGGTCGGAGTCGTGGTCGTGGTTGGGATAGCGTGCACTAGCCCTTAGACGTATAATATCTATATTCATTTTCTCATATTGTTACGTAAATGTTATGATCCTACCATATCCTTTAACTCTGTTGAAAATAATATTTTGAACCCTTAATCTTTTCATAATTAAACGTAATAATAGTGTTGAAGAGAAGAAAATCGAAGTTAAACATGTTTTTAATGCAAAGCAAACAAATATCTATATATTTAATACGCGACATGAAACTTTGTGAACAATAAGGCTTTTTTATTTTAAGATTTAACCCCACATATTATATACCAAAATGTTCGTCTAGGTGTGTAGATGTGCAAACTGGCTTTAGATTTTCAAAATATATATTTTTAAGGGCGTGGGCTGCCCTCAAAGTTCCTTCCATAAGGATAACATTGTGATTGATTTGAATGTTATTATATTCTGAAACAGATGTCAATAAATTGGTTTAAAAAAGTTATATCCCAGCTGTTTTGTTTGGTTTTGAAATGTAAACAGTTTGCATGTTTTTACAAACAATTAGAAACCAGGCAAAGAAATGTTACCTATAGGACACGTCGGGAGAAAAGTTTTACATTATATTTTCGTTTAAACATTCCAAGGACCCGACCATCTTTTCTACCATCTTTTCAGCATGATGAGCTCCGTCCTGCAAAATACCCCTACTGAACAGCAAAAAGAACTTAGAATGCATATAGTCAACGATCGAGCTCAAGACCAACGTCGATACAACGCCGCAACTTCTAACGACGTTGTTATAACATCCTAATTTATTATTCGTGCAAATTCGCACAGGTTCACCTAGTCATTTTTAATTTTAAACAAGTATAATACTTATACAAAACCATTGAAGCAGTAAATATTTCATGAATAATTAATACATTACCTGGTTTTTAGAAAATACTAAACAAAAACTGAAAGAAATTACACTTTCTTTGGTAGGTAATTGGTATTTTTCTTTCAAAATCCTTGTCCAGTGGTCCTTGGTTGAGAAGTCCTTTCAAACACACTTCACAAATATTTTACATTTGTCCCTAGCACATAAGTTTTTTTTAAGGCTTTACATTTAAATTTGAGTATATTTTACCAAGGAAGACGGTGCACCGCACCTTTTTATTGGGAGGCTAGATCAGTGGACTCTATACTAAATTATTTATAAAACTTTCAATACTATCAAAATTATAAATAATAAAGTCAAAAAGTTATTAATACTAATTAATATATTAAAACTGAGACACTATTACACGCACGGAGGTAAACTAGACTCCCCAATGAACACAGTACTGCGGTAACACAAGCATGCGTGTTGAGGGTATGCCAGACCCAGGGTGGTGATAACAGGTCAATGACTCAATCAAGACTAAACAACCCTGCTCATTTAACTCTTTTAAACTCATTGTAAATATGACTGTTATTCGTTATGAAATAACTCCTGTAATACTTTTCAATTACTTGAATTCGAGCAACATGTACACTAGTTATATAAATTTTATATATACCAAATGAAAGTTTTAACCGATAATACAACTTAGGTTCTTTGCATAAATGTACCCACAATCCCACTTTAATTCAACAACAAGCTTCCACTGCCATCACTCTGTTGAGTGAGTTTATTTTCATTTGGTTCTTCCAACCTAGGGACAACAAAATAAAAATATTTGTTTACAAACAAAACAAATATTTTTTTCTTCACAACATATCCTTCTATATAATACGTGAAGGCGATTTCTACAAAACACTACTCCTCCGTTAATAATGGATGGATTTTTACAAACGATATGTCAAAATAAAGTATCTTTTGTGTAGACACCCCCTTTCACCAATTCCTGTTATAAAAATCTTTCGGCTTTGCCCCACAGGTCATCAAAATCCCAGTATTTCTTATGAAGAAAAGATTTTGTTTACTTAAACAGATGAATAATTTGTATTAATTGCATAGCATAACATCTATTATAGTAAACACATGATACACACAAGAGCGTTTTCAGAGTGAGTTCGTTTTCAGTTTTGATAACTGGAGTGGAGTGATTGATTACATTAGCTTTGAGTTGACTTTTTTTAAGTCATCGGAAATTATTACTGTTATTCATTTTTAAATAACGCCTGTAACCTTTCAACACTTAGCAATTGCACAAATTCGAGCAACAGGTGCACTAGTTGTATACAACACCAGACTCATGAGTATTTCATATTGAATAATTCATTGATTGTGTTAGGTTTAAAAATCATTATTATCTGAACACCTGACAAATCTTTTCCTCAGACTTCCTGTTGCGTTGATTGTGATACTGATAAAATTGTTTGTTCAGGAGGAAAGTCAAAGAGAGTTTTAGGGCCTACAGATGAGTTTTATTGCCAAGATGGCTTGAGATCCTAATGGACATTGCCATGAGAGCTGAAAATCAATTGAGCCATAAGTTCTATAGGCCTAGGTACTTCTTTCAAAATAAATAGAATAATGTTAAGGAATATGTTTTAAAACTACATTCTATATTGTATTTTATTACCTGTTTTTAGGTTTTAACATCCATAAACACTAAACAGCATTTTATGGATTCAGAACTTAAACTTGAAATTCCTAGGCATAACCTATTGTTGACTCAACATTCTGATTGTAGGTGTACAAATGTGGCGGTTGCAGCGCTAGAATATTGTTTCCTCGTATCAATGATGTGACCAAACTGTTTGACACTCGCAGAGGCCGATGTGGAGAGTGGGCCAACGCCTTTACTGCGCTGTGCCGAGCCCTCGGCTATGAGGCGAGATTCGTCCTCGACGCAACGGACCACGTCTGGACTGAGGTGAGACTCACTAATACTAGGTTTGTATCGTTCATCGTAGATAATTGATATCTAGCTATTTTGAACAAATTCATCAACAGATCACAACTTTTTTGTATACCTAGGTAATAATGATGAATCTGTTTACTTTGCATCCTGAATTGATAATATGACTGTAATAAAGGCTACCTATCTTTTCTACCTTTTTGGTCTGTGACGTTTTGCACAGTCAGTTCTAGGTGTCTAGACTTAAATCCTAAATATACTTTATTTATTTATTATCAAATACATAGTACCGTAACAGTTAATGTACAAAAGTTTGGCATAAATCTAGAAACAGTACCAATGGGTAAGGGCATATTTTCTGTTGGTTGTTTTATAAGGGTGTGTGAAAATATTTGGGAAATTAAAACATAAATAGGCCTAACTACATCAGGACTGTCATGTTTTAAGTAAGGCCTCAATTACCTCAGACAGTCATTTATTTATATTCGTTCCAACGGAAAATTTTTATATTGCTTTACTGCTCAGCATGTTGGGATATTTCAACTCTACAACTCAGATACGGCAGCTTGATATGGATTATAGAGAATCTGTAAAAAAAGGACAATATTTTTTTGTAAAAAGTGTTTACTTAAATAAATAAATAAAAATGTCTTTATTAAGCGTTTCTCTGGTACACCAGCTTTTCAGAACAACTTTCGTCACTATGCTAAATATCTTATTCAACATTCAATTAATTATACATAGCAATTTGGAAAAAATTTTTACGTAACAATTCAACCTAACAATTTGGCCGTTATACACCTAGACAATATACTGCTTGTATATATACTGTATATATAACCTATCCGTAAATCAATATACAATATACAATGTACTTGTAGATTTTAATGAACTAACACAGCCCACTTTCTCCATGTATATTTTTAATTACACACATTTTATAATTTGTACCATAATCCAAATATGTTAACTTGATAGGTTTACTTCAAATCACTGCAGCGCTGGGTGCATTGCGATGCCTGTGAATGTGCCTTGGACAAGCCACTACTCTATGAGAAGGGGTGGGGCAAGAAACTGACATACGTGATCGGTTTCTCGTGTGACGGTGCACAAGACGTTACCTGGCGCTACTCGGCGCATCATGATGCTGTTAGAGCACGGCGCAATCTGTGCTCCGAGGAACAATTAGTGCAAACCCTCGTAAAGCTTAACCAGATCAGGTAAGTGAATTATTTACTACTTAACCATTAACTTTGGGTATTGATGTAGACATAACATATAGATCAGTTATAGCTGATAGTGATTTGAAATGTTATGGTCTGATTTTTTATAATTTGAATTGAGTATTTCAATTGAGTATTCTTAGATAAATATATTCAGAACTAATACATATTTTCCAGATGAAAATATTAGTTAATGTTGAATTTCTTTATTCCAAAACAAGACACAGATTGGCAAACTGTTCAAAGGGACACACACTTTAACTTTTTAAGATTTTAATTGCAGTAGTAGTTTATTTTGTGTCTTGTCCTCATAAACAGCTCACATTTAGATATTATAATCTTATAGGTACATTAAAAAACCTTTGCAAAAGGTATGACATCTAGCCTAGCCATTCTACTGGACCGAATTGCACGTGAAAGAAATTTTCCTGTTGATGTGCAGAATCCCTTTATAAATTAAAACAGGCTCAGAAATAAGCATAAAAAATGGATTTTAAAGTAAAAAAAAATAACAGGCCTTATGGGTTGCTTTGGTGGTGACAAAATACAGTAACAACAAAATATGGACAGAAAATCCAAACAAATTCCAATAACATGTTTTATTTACAGTGTGGGGTGAAAATAGAGAAGTCTGTACATTACATATTTTTGGTCGAGTTTCAGCCACTGGACGATTTCTATTTTTACTATATTAACTATTTTAGGGAGTCGTTCAAAGAAGGAATCTTCTGTGGCAGTTAGATTAACGTATCTGCAATACTAAAATGATATGGGAAGGCAGAGAAAAAGGTCGCTGATGTAGGAAGTGGTGAAGGAAGTAGTAAAGGCGAGCCGTGCGAAGTGTGGGAACCGTTTGTGGCAGTTAGGTTAATGCACCTGCAATACTTAAATGCTATGGAAAGGGAGGGAAACATGTCCACGTCGTAGGGAGTGGTGAAGGAAGTAGTAAGGTGAGCAGTGCGGGGTATGGGAAGGCAGAGAAAAAAATCGCTGATGTAGGAAGCGGTGAAGGAAGTAGTAAAGGCGAGCCGTGCGAAGTGTGGGAACCGTCTGTGGCAGTTAGATTATGTATCTGCGATACTTAAATGCTATGGGAAGGGAGGGAAACAGGTCCATGACGTTGGAAGTGGTGAAGGAAGTAGTAAAGGCGAGCATTGCGGATTGTGGTAACCGTTTGTGGCAGTGGGATTAATGTATCTGCAATACTAAGACTTCTGTCAGTGTAAAATAATGATTTTCCCTGAGCAAAGCTTAGTCCCCAGGTATTAAGTAGATTACAATGCCGTAAATTTTAGCTCAAAATAACAGCTGGGTAAAAAATGATAGACACATTTGAACAGTTGCCATTTTGACTCGGTTGTCCATTTGAGTTTGGGTTTACGGCTATGTATTTTAATTTTACTAAATAATACCTTTAATTTGATACCAAACTCGACCTATGTTGATGCTATTCAAGGAAACGCATGTACAGTTTACTGATTTGGTTAAAATTAAATCTGATATATTAACCCTTTAGAGACCGCCCCTATGGTATATGACGCACTGCTTAGGACCGGGGTAATTAACAGTTTTTGCAATGTTATATAAAAAATGCTATAACTTTTGAATAGCAGCCCTCTTTAACGTTTCTAGCATGCTGTTCTTGATTTTCTAACTTGTTTTAAATTTTTTTAGATAATCTTTTTTTTAACTGCCAATACATTGGAAGTTTGTATTTAAAAAAAAAAAAAAAAATACTAACTTCCAAAAAATCGAAAGCTGGTCTCCTAAAGGTAAAAAAAAATTTCCAACTTTATGACAGCTAGCCTGATCATACTACTAGACCGAATTACAGGTGGCGTTGTACCAAAAGAAAGGTTATCAGATATTTATGTGCAGGTTTTATTTGTATTTTGAAAATATTTATGATGATAATTAATTAGGTCAAAAATGGAAATTAAACTTTTCTTATGAAGATTTGACATGGGGCTAAGATATACTTTTAAAAGTCAAATACCATTCACTGACTCACTGTTCACTGGATCTCAAAAACTACAAGCCATTTTTCCATTATTTTTTTGGAAAGTCCCCATTAAAAATCCAAATTTAAAAAAATGAAAAAAACTTTGAAAATTTTAAGGACCATATCATACTTAGTTAAATTAAGTTAAATTAAAACCGGTTTTTTTCTAATATCTTATTTTTTGTTATTTTATGGTGTTTTTATGGAAAAATATATAACTTACAATAACTTTTTAACCGTATTTTTACAGAAATGGGAGCTGTACCATTTTGTTCAGAATTTAAAGGGCTACAACATGCTAAATTCTTATCAAAATCGTTCTTCGTTACTCGTTAGTTACACATACTTAACTAAATTAAGGGATTATATAAATGGTTTTAGGCCTAATTTGTTTTTTCCTAATTATTTTGTTGGCCTATCAGATTACATAACTGTTGAATTTAAGCGAAGCCACGACGGGTGTGCTAGTTCTTGTTAATAAACAAAAAATATTAATAAACAAGTTATTTATCAAGAAGTTATTTATTAATAAACAACCATGTTTATTAAAACCCTTTTTTCTCAGCTCCTGTGCATTGCAGGGAAAATCTACACATACTGTTAGAAAGATATTTGCCTATAGATGTGCAGAATCAATTTATAAAATAAAATAGGCTAAAAATAAGCACAACGAATTATATTTAATTTTTCTTTTTATTAACATGGACCTTATGGGTTGCCATGTTAGTGACGAAATACAAAATATTAAGAAAATCAAAACAAATTGAAAAAATTCCAATCACATGATTTATTTACAGTGTGGGGTGAAAATAGAAAAGTTTGCACAATACATACTTTTAGTCAGGTTTTCTACCATGGGGCGAGCTCTAGTCTTATCTAATCTGATTTGGTATTTCTATTTCTGTTTAGGCAAGCCAACCTTAGCGCTGCCAGAAGGAAGATACTGGCTCGTAGAACTGTCGTTGAACTGGTGGATTTGATGGTACCAGCCAAAGAAACAGAGGGAGATAGTCAGGTATGTGTTGTGCATATTATGTGCCATGAACTGTAATTACTACATTATTTTAGGTAAATATCCTGTTCCATACCAATTATTACCGTACCTGGTAGAGGCGTTGACTAGGACTGTCCATTATCTATTCCTGCACAGTTCCTCTTTTTCCTCAGTCCCATCCCTCTTTTCTCCATACCCTTCTCCACTTCATTAATCTTTTTTTATTTTCCTTTTGTTCTTCTTCTCTTGTTTAAATACCAATTCCATTTTCTTGAGGTTCTCTCATCTACATCTTTTCACATGGCCAAATCACCTTTTTCTCGTTTTTTCTGCTCAATATTATACCTTTAACTAAGTTGTGTTAATCTTCTCTGATATAAAATATTTTACTGTTTTCAGGGCGAAACATTCCTTATTTCTTGCACATCTTAAACATTAACACTGTATATCTATCAGTTGTGTTTTTCACTAACCTTCCTTTCACATTGTAGGGCCGATTGTCAGGATCACTTGCTTGGAGGTTAGCCCGACATGAAACAACTCTCCAACAGGCTGAGAGAACTTCTTACGTGTGGACACCAACAAAACTTGAGGTTTGAATCTTGATTAAGCATTTATCATGACTCTGGTCTTTAATTCCTTATTGAAAAAAGTGCTGGCCTACAAACATTATCAGTTATATCAATTATTTAAGATGGGGACATCACTAACTTATGTGCGTAATTTAACCCTAATATGAGTGAAGGATGAAAGTAGGATGAGTGGCGCGATCTTGTAGTCTTGTTAGTGACTAAGGCCGTCATGTTCCTTAGACACAGCTGTTAATTAATAGCCCATACAGCCAATGGCAACTAAGGGGCCAACAGTTTATAGTGGAATCCGAACCACATTTTTTCCTTGTAATGAAGGAATTAGTCTAATTATCAGGATATTACTGCGGAGTGCGGATAGTCGTAGCAGGGAGCATCGCATCCACAGTGCATGCCTATAAATAATATTAGTATCAGATTAAATATACTTGTATTCATGTGTAGATGTTATGTTGACAGGTTGAGGGGAAAAAGATGGTGATAAGTTACTGTGCTGGCAAAGATCAATACTTGAGAGTTGGTGGCGAAACTGTAAAAGGTTGGAACTCTTGTGTGTTCTCTGCTGAAAATGTGTTCCGGAAAGAGGAAAAGGACTGGAAAACTGTTTACCTGTGTCGAACTGGTAGGCCGATTGTAAAATTAGAAAGTAGAAAACAGTTTATGAGGTAAAAGGACAAAATTTGGTTAAATCTTCAGAATCAACCTTTCTATTTTGAATATTCTTTCATCATTTTTAGCAGCTTGTCTTCGAGCATGCTGTTAAGTCCATTCCATCCTCGTATCCATAATAAAGCTCTTCCTACTCCCACTTACTGGTTTTTCTTCCCAAAATAAGTTCTCTTTTCCCATTTCTTTTGTCTTATTCCACTCTTCTAATTAAATCTGTATCTCAGTCGTACTTTTTTTCATTCTTCCTTTTTACACCAAACCATCTAAGCCTCTTTCTGTTATTTACTTTCTCCCCATGTCTATATGGAGAAAGTATTGTTTTTGCCAACATAAATTATTTTGAGTTTTGGGTGGATATATCCGTTTTGGTTTTCACTTGATGTCTGTGCATGTGGGTACTAATCCATGGTATCTCCAGGCGTTTATTATTTATTTTTAGAAATGTTGGTGATTTTCTCATGAAAACCCCTAAAATAAGGGAAACATCATATTTTACAAGAAAGTCCTGAACGATTTTGAATAAAATTTAGTGTGTTATAGGTTAGGGTATCTGATAAAAAGATAGGGCATTTTGCCAGGAATCATTAAGGAAGTTGACAGGAAAGCAGGCTTACCTTTAAATAAGTCCATATAGACACATAAAATATATAACACAAAAGTAGAAATTTTTGTTGCCACTGACCACTTTTTCAAGCACTGGAGAAAAATCTAGTGTGTTATAGCCCTTTTAATTTTGAACAAAAACGCAAACTCCCAAGTAAGTTACGGTTTAAAAGCTATATAGCAATTTTTGTATTATGACACTGTTTATTTGTTGAGTGTAGGCCTACATTTTTCTACAGAATGACTGAATTAGTTCATACATTTTTTTTTTGCTTTTTCAGTGTATTTAACAATCCTTTAAAGGAGTTCTTACTTGATGAAAAAACCTTGCTGCTTTGCTGTAATCTACAACTATACCTACAACCATTGACTATTGGATACTGAAGCTACAACATACTTTGAATACCCGTAGTTTTAGTACCATCAACGATTAATTCAAAAATGTTTCTTCTTGTTAAGACAAGAATGTCAATGAGTTTGTACTAAGTGCTCGATAATGGAGTTTAGGATTATCTAACATTACAAAACAGCTAAATGTTCTTAAAGTTCAAGAATTAAGGATTGATTTCGATTTGTCCACAAAACAAGGGTTTTTGTCCACAAAACAAGGGTTAAAAAGTGTCCTAGCATTGACAAGCTTTTATCAAACATGATTAATTATAAACTTATGGATCAATTAATAAATATTACAAACCCTCTCAATGAATCTAGCGATCTAATATTAAATTAAACTGATTTTAATTGATTAAAAATTATGTTTTCCCCTTACAGAAGGAAGTAATGAAGGTAAAGTTTCATGGCAAGTGGATGTATCAAACAGCGGGCTGAAGGTTCATCAGGTTGAAGTGACATGTTTGTCTACGACGTATCATAACGGCTGTGTAGCCTTGACATTGTGCTCTGGAGACATCTGTATTCCAGTCATCAACGGTAGGCTAAGCATCTAGACATTACATTACTAGGGTCATTGAAGTCAGTTATTATAATCAGAGAAGTTAATTGTGAAAGCTATACTGAAAATATTTGAACTCAGGGCTTTACATGCATGAAAATGCATTTTCTAGGCTACCTCTGCCACAATTGTTGCATAGTCTTTGTTACTTACCTCAGTATATTTGAGTGTAGCCTTCACTGCAATAGACTTTTTATCCTTTCGTAAAAACAAAAACTGAAAACCTATCACAGAAGAGTCCCGCAAACTCGGCACTCGATAACCCGGCAGTCTGGATAACTCAACCATCACCTGGCTCAGAAAATTAGTGATTTTTTGAGTCCGAGTTAACTATGGACTCAAGCCAGCTCAAGTTAAATCATTCACAGCTCGTACCAAGGATTTGTTATACTATATCTGATGACTTAATACTAACTTGTAATCTATACTATTATAAAGAAGAGGTGGTGTCTGTGTGTGTGTGTGTGTGTGTGTGTTTGTATGAGGTAATCTCAAAAACTACTGAATCGACTGGGCTCAAATCGCACACAAATGAAGCTACAGCTCCGAGGATACATATAGAACTATTCCCGCTTCGATATTGTCCTAGGGCTCTGCCCCGTGGGCTTTCAAAAATTTGAGGTGAGAGATTTAAAAGTAAATATTGATTGATGGTATCCATGGTAACAAAGAACAAACCTACAAAGTTTAAAAATGTAAACAAGCAGAACTAACTGTCAAATGAATGTTGATTTCATATTTCCACACAGCTGGTTCAAACATATTAAATACTGCACGAATATTAGAACAGAGAGGGTAAGGATTATAAAAATTTAAAATAATGATGTCACTAGCCCGAATGTAAACATTATTTGACATTACTTAAATGGAGCTGTCAAACCATATGTTAATATAATTTGAATTTCATTAGTATATGAATCTTTCAGTTACTTCATTTGTTTATGTTTATGATCTATTATACTGAGTCTGTTCTAATATTTGTGAAATGCTGTAATAATATTTTAGAGGGAATAATTCGTTGTAAAAAAATTGTTCATGGATATAGGAAATCATTAAGATTCTATAATCATTGCCCTATCAATCTAGGCTCTTATTCTGAGTTTTATGAGGTTTATTGTGATAGTTTTTCTTTTACAGTGCAAACCATGAAATACATTCTTTTATTATACCTTAAAATCTATCTTTGGTTTTGTATGGTAGGTAGCATAAATAAGTAATCACAGTAAGATTTAACAAAAACGTACTATTATCAAGTTAAGTAGTACAGTTAAATTTTGTTTCTAAATTTGGCATTTGGAAAACCATTTGGCATGTTTCTAAGAACCAACATTGTCTCTTTTGCATACTGACCCCGATGCAAGGCCCGGGTATAGCTGCTAGCAAATAGAATAGTAGCGCTGATTTGCAGTAGCTGTTCAAATGGCGCTACTAATTGCACCAACGATAACATTAGGTTTAACGAGTACCTAGGTTTTTGCTGCCTACAGGGAGGGCAACGAAGTGTGATTTTAAGGAACATATCATTAGCTTACTATGAAATAAATACATTTGCCAAGTTTGATAAAAATTGATCCATAAACAAGCAATATTACAACAGTTTACTTATCCTACTAATATTATAAGTAAGAAAGTTTGGATGTATGGATGGATTGTAAACTTGTGGGGTTTTGTTCTTACTTTAAATGTGAAAAATACAAAATTATTACTAAGCTCAGTATACTCGCTTGGCATATGTGAGAATACTCAGGAACTGATTGAACTGACACCATTGTATGAGTTACTAAATTTTATTTCACTATTTAGTCTAATTGATAACCCTTTAAAACACAACATATATATAAATATATAATAATCAATAAATCAAGTGACGTATTTACCAAAGTAATTAAATATTTTTGGGGCCCCAGTATCAAAATAAGAGAATTGAACACATATATAAGTTTAAAAGTAATAGATATAATGCAAATGTAAAACGACTTGATCTTAATTAATTAAACCTTTTACATAAAAATTATAGATATTCATAAAATGTTATTAATCTACATCTTTGCCATTTGGCCAAAGTCCAGTTCACAAAACTTAATACACAATCCTAATATGAAATTCTATAAAATTAATACACTTTGCAAACAAAGAATATTTACATTAGCGACCTACCAAAATACACGTTTGAAAATAATATATAAAATGAGAACTAACTTATATAAAATACATTATTTTACAGGTTTAACCTTTAAGGCTATATTGTTGTTGTTTTTATTTAGCAGGAAATTATTTATTTATAATTATTTATGATTTATATAATCGATTTATTTAGGTTTTTAATTTGATTTTTAAGTTAGGTTTAATTTGAATGAATTGTAGTTATTTAACTTAGGCCCTTTTTTATGTAATTTAAATTTATCTTCTTTCTTCTAAAATTTGTTGTCCTGGGAATTATAATTGAATTTTGACATACCGAGGAGAAGATCTTGAGGGTAGATGAATTCCCCGAGGTGACGTCTCGTGATGTCCAGGCCTCCCCTTGTCTCCGTTGGCAGATGACTCGGTGGTTGATCCTGGTCCTCGATGGTGGATGACGACCCCCTGGAACCTCTTCTCTCGGCGTGGGCTGAGTAGGTGAAGTAGTTTGGCCTAGGACGTATTCAGGTGGCAGATTTTACCAATCCTGATATAATTTGGGGCCTGCTCGATCCGACCCCGTCCTAAGCCTCGCAAATCTTCTTCCAGACTGATGCCATCTTGCTCCTCCTGTCCCTTCCTTTTTTTTTTAGATTTCCCATCATTCTAATTAACCCCGCCTACAGTGTCCAATCATAGATGATCCCTTTGGTGCTCAATGCTGTGATTGGCTGCCACTTCGATCAGCAGTTCACTGTAGACGTCAGGTTGTGCGTACATTGCCCGGGACCTTGAATATGATACTTGTAGACTCGTCGGTGCCATTCAACATGTCTCTTTGTATTAGAAAATTGTAATATTTTATTTACTTGAATCAGTAGCAAGTTTTAAATGGGCCTAATATGAATTTTAAAGATATGATGGTTAAAGATGAAATTTAAGAATTTAATTAAAATATAAATATGTTTACAGGATGCATGGATGTTTGTGACAAGTAAACGCGAAAAATACTAACGCTAATTTTAACCAACTAGCAACAAAAAGTTGTGGTACACAATGAGAACTTAACTTTTTTTCATGGTTTAGGTGCAGTGGTAGAAAATTAGGGCTATGGTAGATACTGTAGGACACTATAGGATACCGTATAAATTAAAAGACAAAATTTTCTTAAACCGTGTCTTATATGCCAACCCCGTACGAAGGACGGGTACTCTGCTAGTATAAATATAACTAAAAGAGGCAGTTATTAAGCTTAAAAATTGTATTGTTCTTATTTTTAACTCTAATTTCCGATAACCCGGCATTTCACAAACTCGGCAGCCTTCCAGTCCACATTACGAGTTTGCGGGACTCTACTAACGTTTCATGTTTGATTGGGATGTTTTTCTTTAATTTTAGTAGCATACCGTACTGTAGTTTTAGTAGGTACTGTGTTCAATCTATTTTACCGGGTCCTCTTTACTTTTTAATACATGCTCCACATGCGCTCATTACCTTGGCCACTGAAACCTAAGCCGGTTTTATGCCTCGCCAATGATACCCCTCCATTCCTCCATCCTTGGCTTCTTCAGGGATTTAGCCTTATCCTTAACCTGGACAGTAAAATATCTTGAAATTACCCTCAGTTAATAGAAAAGGACAAAAAATAAATGGAAGATAGACCATGTCCATATACTCTGGCACCAGAAACCAAATACAGAAAATTTTAAACATTTTTAGCACCATTTTCACCCAAGAGGTCTGTGTTAAGATGTCTTCTGGTCCAATGTACCAATAATTGACCATTGTACAAGATTTATCTTCCCAACTCAAGCCTCTTTGGTTGAAAATACTGTCAAAAATATTATATTTTTGCTGTTTGGCAAACCATTTCTTTTTTGTCATTCTTTTCCATTTGGGCAAGCTTGCTATCCTAACCTAGGCCCATCCGCTCTACGTTACATCGGTTAATCTTAAGGGATACTAATTTTTTTACTTTTGTAGGAGACTTAAAGACTTCGCAGTTTAGAGGTTCGTCTGTCATCACCCTGTCAGCTGTTTTGACTGGAGGGGAGGGTGAAGTGGCATGGCAACATGCTCAGTTGTTCCGTCAACCTTCGGACAGCTCCGAGGTGGTGTTACAGATCAGCGTAACATTGACCTAATGCATATTGGTGCCATTTTTACCACTGTGGATTTATATTGTTTACAAACCACTTTAGTATTTTTGGTAGATTCACTCATCAAGCTCGGTGATACATGAAGACTCAGTGATGTAGCGACTGTAGAGTCCATCCAGGGTTGGAAGGTTTTAGAGGCAAAACTTCTTTAAGAAAATATATTTTATATTTTGGAAAAAAAATTTAATACATATGAATACGAAATTAAAGCAAGATTTTATCTAATCAGGTATATATGTTAACAACAAATCTATTATTATAAACTATTAAAAAGCTGTCTTCAATTATCTGATAAAAAGATTGGATATTTGCCAGGAATTATATTTATAGATTAATTGTAATTTATCCTCATGGTGCTCGCTGCCACAAAGTGATTTAGTTGCGCACTTGTCTCCTCCCCGTTCATTGCCTGCTATTGGCAAGTTTGATTTGATTGCAGCATTTAAGTTTGATTTGATTGCAGCATTTTATCTTCTGCTGGGGAAAACTCTAGCACAAGTATAGCATGAGTAAAAACTCATTCAAGTGGCTATACATTAAAATTGCAATCTAATACAATGCAAACTGTTTATTCTTATCAAACTATGAATCAGGACAGAAAAAAATTGTTTAACCTTTTGGACAACACCCGTGTAACAGTTTCTAAATTAAAAACTACTGCTCAAATAAAATTTTGAACAAGGTTGTAAAAAATATTATTAAGGTTTTATTTTTGCAATTTGTTAGTCTATATATCTATAATAGTAAGTAACAGATGCTATGCAAGGCCCCACTAGAAAAACAGGCCATACTGGCCACGGGCAGCGCAACACTACGTCACAGTGGTTGATAGTTGTACTAAAATTTTACCATTAAAATCTTACAAACAGCCAGCTTGTTTATTTACTTAAAACATATGGGAATGGCGATGGCAATGAATTTATCAATGAAAACTATCCACTAGTGTGACTGACGTCATGGATCCTGCAGCATGGCCTGTTTTTTCTAGTGGGGCCTTGTTATATGTTATGTTATGTTGGGGTGTTGTTGTTGTTGTTATATGTAATTAATAGTAAAACCAGAAGGAAACCATTTATTATAGGGATAACCATTTTGGGATCTAATTTATTGTAATTATTGTACGAATTATGCAGAGCTTGTGCAGTATGGCTTCACTGGAACTATTTACATAATGTTCGATTTTCAGTAACAGGCGTACTGGTTTACAATTTGTTATGGATTTAATCAATTAAATATTGTTTAAAAACATGCTGAGCTTATTTCACCTTCCATACAACAAATTTTAGCCCTTTGGGGCCAGATCTTGCTGTAGACTTTTTTGGTTGTCTTATCAGCAGCGTGACCAGTTAGTAACCGAGTGATCAATTCACCAGTTGTTGGTCTAGTGATCAACTTTCAGACTAAATATTCCAAGGTGGTGGGAATTATCTGCCAGAAGCACCTAGATTACTGGATGTGTACCATGTGAATGACAGAGAAAGCTGGATGTTGAAATAATTCTGAAGTGTTAACGTGGACATTCAGGCCAGTATTACTTGTCATTCCAGCACACTGTTAAGTGTAAGACAAAACACACAACATGAGTAATTAAATTACCTATATACATATTATTTTCAGTAAAAAAGGGTTAAGGATCAGGACGTGAGCAACAACACTCCTCCAAGATAGTGCCACACTAAGATATTGTCAGTATTAGCAGACTTAGAACCACAGATTTTAGAAGTAGATGGTTACAAGCTCTTAAAGTACCGTTCATCTTTAGACTATTGACTCATGACTTGTACTTCTTAAAAGTTCAAGCACCAGCCTTATGGCTGGTGGCCAGGCCTCAGGGCATTAATACTTTAAAAACTTCAAATGGCAAATCTATAAAAAAATTAACAAATCTTTCAAAAGTTTAAAATATGAGTTACTCTGTGTATGAAACTAATTTCTTAATTTAACAAGAAAAAATCTAAAAAGGACAACAGGTATTTTTAAAAACATCAACAAAAATATTGCATAAACTTTTAATACCCAATAACAATCAACTATTTTTGACCACACTTTTACTTTAACCTTAACCGAAAGGAGAATTGTTAACATGCCCAACGTAATGTTGGCCACAAATCTATGCCTTTTAATTGGAAACTGTAATGCCTGATTGTTTCTAACATAAACTGTAAAATAAATACACCACTATATTAATGCACATACCTTGTACACAAGGAAATAACAATGGGCATGGCCCTTACTTACATAAGTGTTACATAATATATACAACAAAACAGCATTTACATTACTACATGTGCCAGCAATCTTCATTGAGCCCTACAAAATATATCTTGGAACATGTACAACATCAATAGGCTTTTGATTGGTGAGAATTTGAAGGAATTGCACACTTTTTTACTCACTGACTCAATATATTCTAAATGGTGTAACAGTGACAAACATTTTAAATAATTTACTAATAGTTTTAATCGTTTTAAAAGCAAAACTGAAATCATATTTTCATGTTATTATATGTGCCTAATGATAATAACTGCTCTTTACGAAGCCTTTCATTATACATACTGCTTATACAAGTAAATCTGTAAAGCTGTTTGGATACAAGCTAATTCAACAGTTAATATATTAGTATATAAAACCCGGAATGTTTCCAAAATAAAGCTTTTGACCAAACAATGGCTATTTTCCACGAATACTTGAACAGACACAGAATGGATCATAAACATAAACAATAGTTATTTGTGCAACTAGTGAGCAAAGGGAGCAATTGACTCACTCGAGAGAAATGCTTACTCACGAGCTGTAGGCGAGTGAGGAATAATTTCTCGAGTGAGGCAATTGCACTTTGCACTCGAGTTGCACATTATATTTTTCCTACAGTTACCATAAAACAAATAAATTGGTAAAGAAACGCTTCCTTGCACTGATTAAAGAATGCAAAGTAGCTAATTGCTGCATTTACTCACTTTTGCCGCAGTAATTATTTTGCCACACTTGAAAGAATTTTTATTTCAACCAAACAACACAAAACAGAGTGCTTTTATTCAGCACGTAATACGTGTAAGCTTGAAAATAAGTTGGCAACACTTAAAGATACTACAACTACGATCAGCTGGTGCAGCATTTCCCATTTCGTTCAAGGTTTGGATTTAACCTAACCTAAAAACGTGTTGTTAAGAGTTTGAAAGACTAATTATATGATTTATAGCCTGCGGTTCGTGTTTAAACTTTTCTCTCATGTGCAGCAAAATGCCACTGCACACACTGGTTAGACAAATAACTATTACTGGCCTGAAAATTAACATAATTTAACATTGCTTAAATGGAGCTGTCTAAACCACATGTTAATGCTATTAGTATAGGATTCGGGCCAGCAACTTAATTAGTCTAATGATCCATACTGGTTCTGTTTAAGTATATGTGCTATTTTCTAAGTACTTACACTGTAAATAATTCAATAATACTTAAAAAAATAAAAATAAAAACTACATTCATACCCTACTAAATTGATTTCCAAAACATTTTATTTTTTTTCTAATGTGGTAGTATAAGTAGATATGCTAAATAATATTATAAATTGTGTTATTTAATAAAATAGGTATTAAAGTAACTTAACAAAAGTTAAATAATGCAATTTGTCGCGGATTGGCAGGTTAAAATTTCTATAGTAAAAGGTTGGATTTAAATTCCACTAAAACTTAAATAATAAAAGCCAAAATTAGTTGTAGATAAAACGTGAGTTTCCTTTATAATGCTTTTTACGATCGAAATAAACTATACTGAGCCATGACTCGTCCCTGGGTACTTCAGCTTAAAATACACACCCAAGTGTAAGTCCATGTCTTAAAAGAATTTGTATGGATTCAAACCGAAATAAAATTTTAGAATCAAAGTTGTATCTTATAAGGGTCTAATATAACATAATCACTGAAGATTATGAAAATAAAAATATTTCATAAAGTTAGTTTAAAGAAAAATCTTGTATAAAACTGACTGGTGATAAACTTTAAACAAATGTTTAGTTTGCCTTAACTACCTTGTATAGCTTTGAGTAGTGGGCATTTTTATGCTCATGTTGTGTGAGCATTAATTTAACATTCTAAAGAACATTATCAGCTGATGAGTTTATTTTACTGCACATTCTGAATGAAGTGTTTTTTTTGTTGTTTTTTTTAGGGAGAGGAGGGAAAATGCTTTTACGCACACAGGTAGAAGTATTGTTAACATAACTATATTTAAAAATATAAGTATTTTGTAATGGATAGGTTTAACAGCAGGTTTACCTTACTGACGAGAATAGATTAAAATTAGTGATAGGTCGGTACTTTACGTCAAATGTCGGTTCCGCCGAGAACCGATGGTGAAATGTAGGTACCGGTACCTTCGGTACTGATAATGACAAAAAATTACTGATATTGCCACGATCGCGCAAGACGACGATGTTTCCATGACCGCGGGAGATGATTTTGCTGTGATTGCGATCGAGGATGACAATGATGACGTTACGGCGATCCTGGGAGAGGATGATGACGTCTACATGGTAAGAGGTGTTCATGATTTTGCTGCGATCGTGGACAGCGACGAAGACATTTCCGTAACCGCGGGAGTTCATGATGTTGTCTACACGGGCGCAGGAGATGTTCATGATTTTGCCGCAATGGCGGGAGACAATGACGTCTACACGACCGTGAGTGATGTTCATGATGTTGCCGCACCCGTGAAAAACAGTGATGATGTTTCAGTAATTGAGAAAAATACTTTGGATTTTGCAGTGATATCAGAATACGACGATTTTCACGATATTACTTTGAGTTTGGCTGGACTGAAAATATCAGGCTGGCTCTATGTAGTATCTTAAATATGGTAGTTATTTGATGTGATAAGAAGTGTTTATACTTGGAAATTGGCTAGTTAGAATGTTTCATTGCTGCATACATTTTTTTCCCTTAAAAAAAACCCCTAATAGCCTTAGCCTACCTCAAAAATGCTTAATAGAAAGACATAAAAGACAGGGATTGTTGTAGTACAACCCCCCCCCCCCAGAAAACTTCCCCAGAAACTCATAAAACTTCATAAAACGATTAAAAAAATTGTATTGGCATTGAGAATTGTTTTTTTAGTTATCGGTATCCAGAATCTATAAACTCTGGTATCGACACATCACTAATTTCATCAAATATTAACACTTCTGCTACATTATATATTATTTTGATTTGAATGTGTTTGGTTATTTAAGTGTTTTTTTTTCAAATAAGTTTTATTTTCTCCCTTAAGTTTTGTACCAACCTAATACTAATGCAATATACTGTAAAATTGAAATACTGTATGGATATTTTGTTTTAAAAATAAAAATTAAGAAGCCTATCCTAAAAATTTAAAATAAAGTACCGATGGTACCGGAACCGAGAACCGATTTTGGTTAGAAACCCATCACTAGTTAAAATATATAAATACATGGTTACTTACTGTCTTTGCATTTCTGATTTAGTTATAGCACTATGGTCGTTGTGGAGATTACTCCATTGTCGGGTGTAGTCGTACACTAAACTAAAATACTGGGGCATTTACATTTTTCATGGGATTTCTTCATTTTCATTGAGTCAATTGTTAATAAATGGTACGTATACCCCACTAGTTTAGTTTTGTGCATGACTACACCTGACAAAATGGCCGTAGTAGTATAACTAAATCAGGATTGCGAAGACAGTAAGTAACCTATGTGATATATTTACAGTATACAGGCTATCTGCCAGACTGAAAAATCAATAAATTAAAAGCGCAAATAGACACAGATAAGGTGTTTTGGTTGTCGATGGAAGGAGGAACTTGTCGGAGAGCTCTGAAAATACTGTGTTTATTTTGTGTTTTTTATCTATTTTTGTAAGTAAAGTAAGCCTGCTGTAAAAGCTCGGCCTAGGCTTATCCATTACAAAATCCTTAAAAACCCTGGGCCTACCCTTGCCTAAAACTTCATATTTCTAGAAATATGACTATGTGATTTGATTAAAGAATAAGTAGGCTTAATATTTTTTTCAAACAATCCATTTAGCCTAAACTCAGCAAGTTTTTAAAATTTAAACTCCTATACAACGCAAACTGGAACATTTTCTATCAAATCTATCTACCTTACTAAGAATGGTCGCAAAAGGTAAACAATGGAAATTGCACAATCAACAACATGAAGCAAACAATCAACTACAACAAATTGTGATTTTGTGTGTATAATAAAACCAAAATATAATTTATATCTAAAAAATAAAATGACAAATAGACAATTTACTTTTCTAATAAAACAAAATGGCTGCTAAACATTGTATTAGTAATAACAATTTACAAGCACAGAGTACCATGTTTTACATTGTCCTTCTATTGTAGTCTGTCATAGACAAATCCCAGGGACTAGTGCCTGCACATTCCATAGTAAATGCCAGTGATCCAGCACATTCCATAGCTAGGCTTTGGTACAAGTTGTTCATTTCAAACCGCAATAATACGTCATCTATTGGGCCAGACTAACGCAAGCATGAGTCCTAAGCGAGTTGGATAGAAAACTTAAAAAAAATAGTTTGATTAATAGCCCTTTTGATTCTTTATTTTACCGTTATTTCCTCTTAAGATTGGCCCATCCGACCTCCTCTCATCACAAAAGGCAATTTTTAGTCTAGTCCACTACATTGTAACAACTGCAATAATACCCCAATAAATGGTAGCTTCTCTGTGACCCAAAATAAGGTGACTTCAGTCAATAGTCATAGTCAATAGTTACAAAAGGTATCTCACCATAATCACAAACCTTGGCTCAAGCCTTAGCTTATTTAACTTCACCTGTAAATGTTTAGTAATTGAAGTTTTAACGATTAAAATACCCTTGTTTCTAGAAGAACCAAAGCAAAATTGGTACTCTGGCTATTGCTATTGAATTTTTATACTGTTAACTTATTTTACATAAGACTACTCATTCAGGTGTCAAGTGATGAATGCAGGGTTGCTGCAACGTGGGTTCGGTGCTGAGGTTGGCACTATGGTAGTCAACTACAAGCGAAAGCCGTGCTATCAAGCGTACTAGTCTGTCAAGTTAATCTCTTCGTCCACTCCATCTGCATCTGCGGAAAAGTAATGAATTTATTTTTAAAAATAAAGAACAAAATTACAAAACATAATTTAGGCTAGAAATCAATGTTCTAACTACTTCTACGACAATACTAACAACAAGATCAGAAAAAAAGTGCTCTCACCCTCGTTGAGCTCCTAAGGCAGATTTCCGACACGAGATTAACATAATCAAACCTCCACTTACTATCTAGGCAAATATAAGTCGACTAAAAAATCTGACAGCTATTCCTGATATTATGTCTTGCAGCCTCGGAGCTAAGTTAGAACTACTGTTGGGTGATGTCTGACCAATGGCCGAGCAGACATCATCATAGAATGAGGATTTGATCCTGTCTCAGTCAAGTCTGGTGTGCAATTTATAAATTCAGGTGTCTTTTATTATTCTTATTTTATGTTATCTACAATTTTATAACTTTTATGCAAGGGAACAGTCCAAACCGTGTCTGTGGAAGAGCTTTGTGGGCAAGGACCACCTTCGTGATTAAAACTTAAGTCTAGACTATGACATGAATGAGAAAAAGCAGAAAGTAAGACCATTAAAATAAAACATCTCATTAAAAACGTGGGAGCAGTTTGCTTGAACACCCTGGCAATTTGGTTTCACTAGCGAATACGCAAACACTCGTACTACACTGTGCAACCAATTGCTACAACTAGGACTGCTAGAGTAACTAAGACTAGTCATTCACCAATTTGATTATGACAGAAAAACGTCTACGTTTCTTAATCCCAATGCTGGATAAGTTTTCTTATCAATTTAATCAGTACAAAATGAGTGTGTTGCTAGTTGAGTGGTCCTCAAACCTGATTTATCAAGAGTAAATGAATTAACAGCATGTTCATTCAACATGTACTACTTGACAAGCTTACTAGTATAAAGATACTTCTTTGTGTGATCTAACAGCAAATTATATGTTTTGTTTTGTCTCGATGTTTAACCTGGAGTATGTGAATGAAGGTATTGTTCACACAACCTATACCATAGGTGAAGGGGTTTTTGTCCAAAGATTCTGAATCAACCACAAGACGGATTTGTATGATTCTTCGGTTGAATTAAACTTAATTGAACCACTTTCAACACCAACAACTCAAATACAAAAGTAGAAGTTTTGTTCTCTGTAAATTAACATTCCAAGATCTGTTTAGCATAAAATAGAAACCCATGCCCTAGCTTAATATGAAGCAATTACGACGTTACCAAAATTTACCGCCGTAATAATAATATAATAGGCCTACTCAATTAACCAAATTTAGATTACTATCAAGCTTTCTAATAGGCTCAAACAATAACCAATGAAAGACGTTATTCCAAATAGCCTAGGTTGTTGCACAGTTGCAATAAACACCGATCCTCTTGATGCTTTGTAATTTCAAGGTAATAATAAATAAAATTCTAATAAATACCTCTCTAATTAATAACAGATTTAAGTCAAATTTCATTATTGACTAAGTTAAGATAACCTACAATACGTACACTTACCGTTTCGATATCATAACGTCTGCCGATACAACTTTTACTTTCATCAAAGGCCATAATTAAATTAGACTCCGACTAATCATTCTTTTATTTAAATTATCCTATAGCTGTGATTTGTTTTAATTACTGTAAGATTGTTTAAATTCATATTAAGAATAACTTTATACGGATGCCTATTTACAATCATCATTAACATAACCTCCAGGACATGACATTTGACAGACATCGGTACCCGGCCCGGTTTGAGAATTGAGTGAGAGGAAGTAAAACAATCACATTACGTCATATAGTTTTTTCTGCGCGGTACGTACTCCGGTATCATGGCAGGGCGGGATTTTTGAAAGAGGGAAGACTTCTCTCTTGTTAACTCGGCTTTTTAGCTGGAAGAGTAGAGTCCTCAAAGCTACATTCGGCAAACACTACACTCGGCTTTGTGCTGGAGTTGGTAAGAGCTGAAAGTTGGCAAATTAAACTACATATTAGGGTTTTTATTAGCTAAACTTAATTTCTTTCTCAGGGGTTACATTATTGCGAGTTAGGGAATTCTTGAGTCATTAATATTTTGTGATATAATTTAAAGTAGATTTTTATTCAATTTCAAGTTAAATATTTATGAATTGTTAAATATTTGCGAATTGTTAAGTGAGAAAGATCACTGTGATAATTATTTAATAAGACTGAATGTTAGATTTAATAGATTTGTTGAATAAATATTTAATTGTTACAGCATAAACTCTTGACTTATTATTGTAGGGACACGCTCTCATCTCTCTAGATAAAAATAAAGAGAATACAATATAAGCTTTGATTAGAAACAACCCCACTCATTAAATCGGCTGGCAAAGAACCTCTCCCTGAAGGTAGCTCATTGCTCTACAAAAAATAGCTAGGGTAACCAAAATAACCAATATTTTGAGTTGGAGTGTTGTAAAATGGCGCCCAACGTAGCAGCCAATTAACCAACGTAGTAACCGTACGGAGTAACCAACATAGAAACTTAATTAAACTAACATACTTTGAATGTCTAGAATCTGATAAATAGGTTTATAAATAATAATGGAAGACAACACCAGTCAGTATAACTTGCGTTCGAGTATCAAACCGAGTAATAAATTATTAGAAAGTAATGAAGCTTTGAATTTTTAACAAGACGAAATCCAGAGGAAAATCAAACCATCACACAAAAACCTAGCGAAATTATAGGTCAGGAAACACACCCAAACTATGAAAATTCAATCCACGATAGTGACAGCACTAGCAGTGAGATCTTACAAATAGAGGGGACAGATGGGACGATAAATAAAACACAAAGAATAACAGAAAAAACACCATCAAACAGAGAAAACGACAGTAAACCATCCCAATCTCAAACTATAACTATGGACAAGATCTTGTTAATACTAAATGAAATGAGAGGCGAAATGAGGGAAACTAGAGATGAGATTAAAAAACTAAATGCAAAAGTAGATGAGACTAAATATGAACTTAGCTTTACCATAGATAGAACAATTGAACTATTAAAGAGACAGGTAGAAAACCAATTGGAAAAGGTAACTTACACAATTGATCAAAAAATAAATTATATTGATGATGATTTAAGGAGGGTAAAATCAGAAGGTGAACTAAGGGAGATAAAAATTATGCGCCGGGTGGAAGAACTTGTAGAATCCCAAAATGCTAACGTAACACAAATGATAGAGACAATAAAAAGTGACTTAATAGGAATCACTAATGACACCATTAGGGAACAAAAATCAAAAGAAAGGTATATTGAGGCTACAAACAGTAAGGAAATAATTATCACATACCAAGGGTCCCCAGAACAGTCACTAAAACACTTGCAATTTGACGGACGACAAACAAACCCAATGATATTTCTAAACAAACTAAAAGCATACCTTAGTCGTGAAGAGAAAAAACGAACTAACATGATAGGAGTCGAGGATTCTGATCTAAAGGAAGTACTTGAAGGAATTTTTATTGGTACCGCAGCTTCTTGGTGGCAAATCATAAAGGATAGTATATGTAACATTGACGACTTTGAAAAAGCGTTCATAAATAAATACTGGAGTAAGGAGACTCAACGTGGATTAAAACAGAGAATAGAGATGGAAGAGTATAGGCCAGGAGGTAGATTAAGTCGTACCGAATACTTTATGGAAAAGGCGGTTCTCTTACGCTCAATGTCAGCCAATACTTTGGACGAGGAGGAAATAATAAGCTTGTTGTCAGGTCATTTTGGACAAAAGATTCAGGATGCTTGTAGTGTCCAGGGCATAACCACTATCAGTGCTATGGAAAAATTGTTAGACCGTGAGGACAACGAAGAGAAAAATAAAAGCTTAAAATTTCAAAGTAACAGCTCTAAGCCAAACCAAAACTACAATCAACAACGCAGTAAAACACACCTCGTAGGAAATGAAGACTACAGACAAGAAATAGAACGTAGAGACAGATACAACAGAAACCGAACAGAACAAAACTATCACCATAGATATGATAGGCCACAAGCACACAAAGATAACATCAATGGCGAAAGACCAAACTACAGACCGAGAAATAATGAAACAAGACCTAACTATCCACAAAAGGAGCCATATAGATATCCTAGTGAGGAGCAAAGAAGAGTATGCTCTATGGTGTACCAGGGAAATTCTCAACCAGTGCCTTTAAACGAGAAAGCACCGAGACTTTCAGAGAATCGGGCCCCAACACAAAACTGTTAGGAAATCTAAGAGAAAGTGTAGAAGCCTCGGTGCACAACACAACCACACCGCCCGAAATTCAAATAAAAACTGAAAAGGAACCAGACATAAAGAATACTAACTTCGAAAAAATATTAATAGGAAATGTATATTGTGATAGAGAATTTCTATTAACAGAAGATTTAGAAGTCCCTGAAAATCTAAATAGTAAAATTGTAAGATGTCCTGAAATAAAATTGAAATTACAGAACATAGAAATTAATGCACTGATTGACTCTGGTAGTAACGTAACTTGTGTACAAACTGAATGGTTGGAAGCAAATCAAGATAAGATTAGTATAGTAGGCCAATTACCTCTAACAAGCGTAAATATTACTACTGCTACAGGTCAGAAAAGTAAACGTATAAATAAAATAGTTTTACTTGAAGCCACAATTTTAAATACAACTGTTATGCTCCAATGTTTGGTAATACCAAGACTAATAAGAGAAATTATACTGGGAGTGGATACAATCAAAGAGTTGAATATGAACCTTGACTTTGGAAGAAATAAGATCTCAATTTACCATGGGAATCAAAGCATATCTGTAAACTTAGAGGAGGTCAGTAGTAAAGTTATTGAGTGCAAAGTAATACATAACAATGACAATCTTCACAAAGATTGGGATGAAATAGAAACTAAGAAAAACACAGCTAACAATAACAATTAACAATACATATAAAATAATGAATAATAAAAAAAAAAAAAAAAAAAAGTTTATGAAATGTATTATTATAAACACAACACTAATCTTCTTTTGAATTTGCAAAACAGATGATGGCAGCAGCTAGTTTCTACATTCCAAAGAAAGGAGGAAAGCGTCACCACGAAGCCTTCCGAAAGTGGCTGGCCAAGCTCCCACTTGACGACCCGAGACGAGTGCAGCTTGCTTCAGGCGTCAAGCCGAGAACGAAACTAGCGAATCTCCTGGAGATCAACAACAGGAAGCTGGAGGCTCAGAAGCAGCGAGAGGTGCTCGGTAGACGGTGTGAGCAGCTATCTGAGGAGGCGGACATCACTAAGTACGCCGATGTCCAAGCCAAGAAGAGGCTTACAGAAATGGAGAGGGTGCTGGGCTACCCTATCATCGCCCGGAAGTATGTCTTGCATCCTTGCGACATACCACCAAAGGGACCCCCAACTGAAGACTCCAGCGACCGGGAGGTGCTGCGCATCCTGCACGAGATGAAGGTCCAGGAGCCCATTCAAAGGATTGATCCGGTGACCAGCATCTTCAGCCCGCCTAAAGCCCATCCTGAGGAGGACGTCCTGGAGATGGAATTAGAAGAGGATTTCACCCTGGAGTTTTAGAGGACTCTTCAAGACTCCAACCTAAAGACTGTTATGTATTATTAGTTGTAAGATTTCATGTTCCTATTAGTTATTTTATTTTTTGCTCATTTCAAGACTGATTTATCTAAAATTTTAAAAATTTTCTGTGATATTAGAATTTTGTGAAACTTGCAATAACAATTAGCTTCGTCACAAAATTGAGGGGACAATTACGACGTTACCAAAATTTACCGCCGTAATAATAATATAATAGGCCTACTCAATTAACCAAATTTAGATTACTATCAAGCTTTCTAATAGGCTCAAACAATAACCAATGAAAGACGTTATTCCAAATAGCCTAGGTTGTTGCACAGTTGCAATAAACACCGATCCTCTTGATGCTTTGTAATTTCAAGGTAATAATAAATAAAATTCTAATAAATACCTCTCTAATTAATAACAGATTTAAGTCAAATTTCATTATTGACTAAGTTAAGATAACCTACAATACGTACACTTACCGTTTCGATATCATAACGTCTGCCGATACAACTTTTACTTTCATCAAAGGCCATAATTAAATTAGACTCCGACTAATCATTCTTTTATTTAAATTATCCTATAGCTGTGATTTGTTTTAATTACTGTAAGATTGTTTAAATTCATATTAAGAATAACTTTATACGGATGCCTATTTACAATCATCGTTAACATAACCTCCAGGACATGACATTTGACAGACATCGGTACCCGGCCCGGTTTGAGAATTGAGTGAGAGGAAGTAAAACAATCACATTACGTCATATAGTTTTTTCTGCGCGGTACGTACTCCGGTATCATGGCAGGGCGGGATTTTTGAAAGAGGGAAGACTTCTCTCTTGTTAACTCGGCTTTTTAGCTGGAAGAGTAGAGTCCTCAAAGCTACATTCGGCAAACACTACACTCGGCTTTGTGCTGGAGTTGGTAAGAGCTGAAAGTTGGCAAATTAAACTACATATTAGGGTTTTTATTAGCTAAACTTAATTTCTTTCTCAGGGGTTACATTATTGCGAGTTAGGGAATTCTTGAGTCATTAATATTTTGTGATATAATTTAAAGTAGATTTTTATTCAATTTCAAGTTAAATATTTATGAATTGTTAAATATTTGCGAATTGTTAAGTGAGAAAGATCACTGTGATAATTATTTAATAAGACTGAATGTTAGATTTAATAGATTTGTTGAATAAATATTTAATTGTTACAGCATAAACTCTTGACTTATTATTGTAGGGACACGCTCTCATCTCTCTAGATAAAAATAAAGAGAATACAATATAAGCTTTGATTAGAAACAACCCCACTCATTAAATCGGCTGGCAAAGAACCTCTCCCTGAAGGTAGCTCATTGCTCTACAAAAAATAGCTAGGGTAACCAAAATAACCAATATTTTGAGTTGGAGTGTTGTACTATGGATGATAGTGGCTTGTGAAAATTTTAAGTTAATAGAAAGGTATCTCTGTAATGCAGAGATAGTAGAAGTATCTCTTAAGTTAATAGAAAATTATCTCTTTAACACAATAGATACTTAGTAGAAGTATCTCTTAAGTTAATAGAAAAGTATCTCTGTAATACAGATATACTTTTCTATTCTTAAAATTTTCTTAAGCCACTACCATCCATAGCTTCATATTAGCTAGGGCATGGATTTCTAGTTAATGCTAAAAAAAATCTTTGAATGTTAATTTACAGAGAACAAAACTTTTACTTTTGTATTTGAGTTGTTGGTGTTGAAAGTGGTTCAATTAAGTTTCATTCAACCGAAGAATCATACAAATCCGTCAAAAACTGGTGAAAACTTCTTATAAAAAAATGAATCCTCAGACAATCCTTCAAATTTTTCATCAAATTTCTATTCCTATAATACCAGGAACAAAAATGAGGCAATTCCTGCACTTAGAATTCAAATTTCTTAGATAAAAATTAAAAACCTTCATAGATTTTATAGATTTCATAGATTATAGATGAACCGTCGCGATTTTTGGTACTTTTTACCACAGAAAATTTTAAAAATTCATCTAAGTAATTGTACATTTTCATTGTCAAGGATTGTGTTTGTGAGATGTTTGAGATTGTGTATTGGTAGTTACTGTAGATATAGAATAATGATGTTATTCAATATGTTGTACAGTCCGTTGCGGGAGTGAAAAGCCAAACATCATGCACAGTTAGCAAAAGAAGCTACAGTGCATGCACTGTCAGAAGGCGGAACAGCTGTCAGACTCAATTTGGCAAACACATTTTCCTAATGTCGAGGGTAGTTATCAGTTCAATATGATAATATAACCCCCCGCCCGGTTTGAAGCTCAAGTGTTATAGCGTTATCGAGAGCTATAGATAAAATTGACGGAACATGAAAAAAAATTCTGAAAGAGGAGTTCTGCGATCTAACTAACAGATCAATCGCCTCAAATAATTAACATTTATTGGAGAACTTCCCTGACAGCAATGATGGTTAGTGAAATTTACACTCAAAGTTTAGTAGCAATAACAGACTAGTGTTATAAAATACAGAAACTTACCAGGACGAAATGTTTTTGTTCTTGTTGTGTTATATGAACCGCAACTTTGGCATTTGAGTCCAACAACGTGGTAAGGTACTGTTGAATACTGGAAATAAAAATACAAATATGATGACAATTGTGAAAAATTGTGATATTACAAAGTCGTTAGTCATAACAACAAGGATAACAAGGACCTGAGAATTTTTGGAAATGATAAATACCCCCGCTGCAGCAAACCTGCAGACTAAGCGAATTTCCATTTACCAGTATTGGATTTTCATTGAAATGTATTTGAATAACATTAGGTTTAACAAGTGCCTAGGTTTGCTGCTACAGTGAGGGTAATAAAGTGAGTTTTTTAGTAGAATATGAATAGCTAAATATAAAATAAATAAATTTACCAGTTTGATAAAAATATAACGATAAACAAGCAAACTACAACAATTTAATTATTCTCCATAAGAATAAGATGGGAATTTTAAATTTACAATTTATTCAACTTTCTTCGTAACTAACCAATAACCGCACACAAAAACTCCAATATACTAAATTACTTGTTTTTTAAGTTCTTTAAAATGGTGTAAAAGTAAATATTTATGTTTTGAGGGTCAAAAATGAGAAAACCCTATTTTTATCACATAAAACACCCCATAACATAACCCATACCGGTAATCCGATTATGCTGGCTTACAAACTCATTAAAGTTTATCCCGCCTTGCACCTTCAAGCCAAATTTCATCAAAATCTGACAAAAATTACTCAAGTTGCGATCACGTTTACGGACGTATCTATATATATACTGTGTATATATATAAATTTGAACGAATAGTGTTTTTGGCCTCTAGGAACATCAAATTGAAAAAGTATATCGGTCCCGGGCCTAAGTCTTACCGTACCATCTACGGTAATAGCTACTTCCCTATAGGGAAATTCGCTAAAACAATGTATTAACTTTTAAGATAAAAATTTGCTGATAGCATTTGAAACAGGTTTCTACACAACATAACAAACAGATAAAGAGGTGTATATAGAATGATAAATAGTTTTCGCAGAAAAAAAATTATATTAAATCAACTAGGGAATGTCACCATAATAAACATGCTCAAATGAAGTCAAGTTGAGAATCAAGTAGTAGGCCTAGCCAATGTAGACGAATTGGGACTGGGAAGAGCTTAAAATACCAAACTATTTGGCTATTCAAAGACCAAAGCTAATGTTTACCTGTATATTAAATGGTAATGATAAAAATTAAAAACATAGTTAACAAAGTACCCTTTTTTAAATATTTATTTTATTTTATTTCAAATGCTTGTAATATTTACCAAGATTGTTTCTAGGTCTGTGTAAAAATGAAAAAACTCACTACAAATAACATTGATTTTCAGCTTCATGCTTTCATTGACTTTGGAAATTTGAAAATTTCAGCAAATTGAATAATGGGTTTTTTACATTACTGCTAATATTAAGATAATACACTTGATACTTCATTACAAATTGGTAAAAAAAATTAAATTGAACGGTGAGGATTTATAATTACTTACTTTCTGGCAGTCCTTGCAGAGGATTTGAGCTAAGTAGTCTTTAAACTCCGTTGGCATTGGAGTCAATAATATCTCTTGATCATAATGTTCCCACACCTGTAATGTTTAAAAATTGAAACAACAAATTCCTGCATTCGACACTAAGACACACACACACACAAAAAATTATTTAAGATTGACTAGGAGAAATGATTAAAACATTTACAGAACGATTTTGAAATTTAAATGCATCCATGCATTCAAAACTTAACTAAGTAGGTATGTTAATAAAACAGAGGTATGCTAAATGTTGAAGACCAAAAAATTTGCATTCTTCTCCTTTAGGCCGTATTTTGAAAAATTTTGAAATTTTACAGATGGAAATCTGTGCAATTTAAATTGATTGTTTATTCTGTGTGCAAAAAGTTTGTAGAGGTAAGAAAATTCACAATGTTCACAAAGTGTGTCTATTCTCTGTTGGTGGCTTAATTAAACTAAGTCAGTTTTGTTCTATAAACTGGTAACAACTGAAACAGTGTTCTACTACAATGTTACTGTCTTATCGTTTAAGGGATTTTGTAAATTTTTTAGTGATGGTCGGATCTGGATATCAGACTAACAGATCCGCCGGAACCGACGCCCGATCGAATCCACAAAAAATCGGATCTTGGGCTGGATCCGGTTTTAATGGATCCGAGTTTTTTTCCCTATTAACTTTGAAAATGTCTATAATCAGCTGTTAGATCTATGGTCCATGGTATTACCAACCGGGGTCATGTCTATCAGGGAGGTCTGGCAGGAGGGACAAGTAAAGAGCCCACTCTGCAGCAGATCCTCAAAGCAGGTCCTATGCAGCAGGTGTCCACAGTCCGGGATATGACAGGGTATCCGGGAAGTGTGAATGTCTTCCAGACACACCGGACAATTGGCGCGGGACACGTTCTCAATACACTATCAACAAATTCACTTAAATTCAGAAATTTGCTAGAAATGTGTTAACTAGCAGTCCCCTTGCAGCTAGAAACAATCTGGAAACTAGATTACATCTATACCTAGGCATACTGCAGACAACAAACAAATGTATTAAAGTACCTCACGCTCTAAAAATGAAAACTAATGTAACTGGCAGTTGACCAGTAAAAGCATGAACAGAAAATCTAACGTAACCTACAAAAATGTTGAGCTAAGTGAAAAAAGGTTTCCCATAGAAGTTTTATTAATAGCAATATTGGTTGTGGCTTGATACTAGATTTGTTCATTTATATTTCTCTAAAACAAACAAAAATGAGCTGGACTAACCTTATGTCCGCTCTGCAGCTTGTTGGGCAAACACATGTTGCATTTCTGACAATGGAAAAACCTCTCACGGCCGCCAATGCGGCAAATTCCGCAGCCTTCGCAGTGGTACTGGTTTTTGTCTTCGTCATCAAACAGCTTACATTCTAAGCAAGTGTACTGAAACACAGACAGAATGGGTTGTACTGTACTTGCAATAGTACTGGTTCTTGTCTTAATCTTCAAACAGTTTACATCCTAAACAAGTACAAAGTGGTTGTGTTTCTGGTGGTATTGTTTGCATTGGTTCTTGTCTTAATCTTCAAACAGCTTACATCCTAAACAAGTACAAAGTGGTTGTGTTTGTGGTGGTATTGGTTGCATTAGTTCTTGTTTTTATTGTCAAACTCCTTACATTAAAAAAAACCAAATAATTTAGTATATCAAAGTGTTTTAGTACGGTGATTGGTTACGGAGAAAATTAAAAAAAAGTTAATTTAAAATTCCCATGTTGTTCTTATGGAGAATATTGTAAAATGTTGTAGTTTGCATGTTTATAAATATATTTTGATCAAACTTGGCGGATTTATTTATTTCATACTAAGCTTACGGAGAAATAATTGATATTGGAATAAAAAACACACTTTATTAGTTTACCTGTAGCAACTAACCTAGGTACTCGTTAAAAATAAATGTTAATTTAATGGAATTATTGAAAATCAATCCAGGCAAATGGAAATTCACTTAGTCGGCAGATTTGCTGCAGTGGGGGTATTTTTAAATATGACTGGGCCTACACTTTGTTGTCATATCGCTTGGATAAAGTACTGTTATCAGTAAAATACCTGAATCTATTGACTAAGTCCATTCAACAAAATAGAAATTCCAGGAGTTAATTGGAATCTTATCTGAAATATGAAAAATATACGATAACCTCAACTTTTTCACAAACACATTTTACTACTATATGTTTCTTTTCTTAGGTTAAACTTGTTAGTTATAAACAAAGTGTTGCATGCGAGAAAATACTAATTATTTGTTGCCTGCACTTAAATGTATTATTATTATTTGAAAAATCTTTAATTTATTTGTTATTCTAACGGTTTAAGTTTGGATCCTCAAATGTGTGTCATTCTGTCACCGTTACCATTTAGTTTTGTGCAAAATTTTATTTAACACGTATGACCAGACACCCTGTATATAACTCAAAATCAAAAATTCCCGACAAAAGGTCCCTTTTTGCTTCCCACACCACATATCAGTTATTTGGACCTAAAACGACCTCGGATAGCCTGAGGGCTCAGATAGTCGAAAGTGTACTGTAGGTACTAACTTATTAGGGCTTCAAAACAGAAAATAAACGGTATCAGCATTCTGACACATACTTTCTCCCATATGTTTGTCAACAACCTCATATCCGGAAATGGGATTTGTACAATTTTGTTCAGAATTTAAGGACTATAACATACTACATTTTTATCAAAATTGTTCATGCCATTTTTGGGAAAATCCGATTTCCCGTTATTTTATGGGGGTTTTATGGGGAAAATAATATAATTCACAATAACATTTGAACCGTAATTTTTACAGGAATGGGATTTATGCTGTTTTGTTCAGAATATAAAGGACTATAACATACTACATTTTTATCAAAGTCGTTCGGGCCATTTTTGGGAAAATCCTAATTTTCCGTTATTTTATGGGGTTTTATGGGAAAATCCCCATTAAAAATAAAAATTTCTAAAAAATGAAAAAAAAACTCAAAATTGTAAGGACCATAACATACTATGTTAAATCAAAACCGGATTTTTTTCTAAAATCCTATTTTCCGTTATTTTATGGGGTTTTTATGGGAAAATAACATAATTTACCATAACTTTTGAACCGTAATTTTTACAGAAATGGGATTTGTACCATTTTGTTCAGAACTTAAAGGGCTACAACATACTAAATTTTTATCAAAATCGTTCGGTCCATTTTTGAGAAAATTCGATTTTTCCGGTTTTTTATGGGTTTTTATGGAAAAATCCCCATTAAAAATCAAAATTTCAAAAAAATGAAAAAAACGCCTGGAGATACCATAGATTAGAACCTACATACCAAATTTCATCGAAATTGGACCACAGGTGTAGTCTCTAGCTCTGTACACATCCAGACACACAGACACACAGACACACAGACACACACACACACACACAGACATCACTTCGAAAACCACTTTTTTGGGTCCAGGGGGGCCCAAAACGAATATATCCACTCAAAACTCAAACTCGAAAATTTTGACGAAAACAATACTTTCTCCATATACTATGGTATAGGGGGAGAAACTAAAAATAGTTTCCATGGAAGACGATATTATTTCCTTGGATAGGTTTTTACAATGGAGAAGCTTGATTAACATTTAAAACATAATTTTTAAAGTTTACAATTTTTCCCCATTTAAGGCCTAACTTACGTGCTATCCAACGTACTCAACGCCGGTGTAGGCCAATCAATAGTCCTGGTAACTTTACTTAAAAAACATAAAATTCTACCTTACCTTGCCAAACCGCAGTCTGCACTTTTCACACTCTGCTTGCACCTTCTGTCGCGTAGAACAGTTGCCACACACTAGCTCTGTGACATCCTTGCGGTTGAGAGGGTGGGTCTCGTTCTCATCATGGCAGAATCGGCAGGTGTATACCTTGTCACAGCAAGGCGTCTAACGGTCATAAAAATTATTAGTAGATAGATGGCAAAATAGAAAGTAAAACATTATTGATGGTTTACAGACTACTTAACTTGGGTAGGATGGTATAAATCTTGAAAAAAACATAGCAAGGACACAGTTTAGACAATTGTTTAACTGTAAACCCCAGCAAATTTAACATATGACTTTGTAAGTTTAAAACTTAGATTTTTCAGACAGGAAAAGGGTTTTGTAGCTTATTTAAAAGCAAAGATGAGTGACGGTGAAGTGTTGAATGAATGAGATGACAGCTTTTACTAACTTAGATCCTGTTTCTTTGATCAGGCACAAAGCCAAAGCCTAATCATAGACAGCTGGGCCCAAACGGCCCAGTTTAAAATCACCAAAGAGCTTCTGGCTATTCTCAGTGATCAAACTGGTGACCATTAAATAAATAAGCGATCACTAGGGTAGCTTATCTCCTCTCCTACTTAGTTATTACTAGCTGTGTGCCCGTTCTACGCACGGGAATCTTATAGTAGTCAGTTGAAACCTTCTTATATTAAGAACAGCAGTTGGTTTGTTGGCAAAATATGCTGGCAAAACTATTCTGTATAAACCTTCGCAAATACAGTATCAGTTTCAAGCCAAAACAAATGCTCCGCAATTAAATGTCACCCGGATCGTGTTGGTCCATATTTTAAATCCAATAATTAAACTAAAAAATGCTTTATAGGCCTAGATCTATGAGGCATAGCCCTAAGGTAGGCCTATAGTTGAAAGTTACTTTCCACAATGGTTAAAAGTATTTAAAGTACTACCTCAACCTCACCATTTAACACTTTATTTGGGTTGACATTTTCATTATCAAAGGTACTCTTGTCCTTTTCGTGACACTGAGAAATAACAACATTCATGCGTTACCAACAGACATACACACAAAAATACAGAACTCGATTAGGGAATTTGCTACGTTTTAAGGCTAACAAAGTACATATAAAATTAGTATTTGAAATCTTAGTCAATGTCATCAAATGTTATCATAACAATTTATATTTGCTTGATCCGAAGATGACCCAAAATGATGTCGAAATGACGGCTTACTATATGAAATGAAGTACTATATACGATTTAGATTGGTAATTTATAGTAAAAATTACCAAAATAGGCCACGAACTACCTATTGATACATAAACAATTCATGATTGTTTGCTGAGCAAATGTTTTACTTAAATGAGTTATCATTTTCTTAGCATAAACTAACATTTTTGAATCCAGACAGAAAAGGCAAAACTTATACAGTTAAGACATCAATTAAATTGAATACGGCTGTAATACGACTGTATAAATAAGGTGCAACACCAACGATAACTAATTTGTAAATTACAGTACAGTGATGTGTTGGTACGTAACAATTATTCTTGCTGCTACCAACAGTTCTAAGGAAAAGAACCTGTACCAAAAACCAACGTTTACAGTTAAGAATTACGTCCGACCAATTAAATGCGTTAATCAAGTCCCAAGGATATTGATTTCTTGGTTTTGGATTTTCTTATAAAAAGTTATCGGCAATCAAAGTTATTTCCCATTAATTGCTCTATTCGTAAACAACTTTTAATGTAAACTTATTGGTGTCAGTTTGAAAAAAAAAAACAACCTTATACAAACAACTTTTTGTTATTTAATAGAATATGTATTCTCTAAACAATGATTGGTATATCTTTAAACATTAGAAGGAAATGTGACAAAACTCACACAATGCTGGGTTTTTGGACGTTTGTAAATTTATTTCTTAAGTAGGGAGGCCGTGTATTCTAGGGAAAAGTACCGTTACCAAGGATCGTCGTCGAAAAGGTTGTTATGAATAATTGGGTCTACAGGCGTAAGTACCCAAGAGATGGGCTATGGACCTATTGGCTGTATGGTCCAGCAATTACATCACACGGTGAGTAGGAACAGAAAGTGACACATTGGAAAAGCGAGTTTAGCATCATCCATAAACCGTAAACCTCTGTTACAATCACCCACTGCAGTTGTGATTTTTTACTTTACACTTTACACAACCGCCATTGAAGCGCCGTCAATGAGTGGACTCCTTGTTTGTAAGCTATTGGCAACAATCATTAATAAATTTAAGTTTCCCAGCCCTATATAACACTGATTCAAGGTCTTCTTTCTGGTTATCAAAACTCAAGAAATATTTTAAACACAAAGAATCTCTGGTTCCTGACCTGGATGATGCCTAGTTATTTAATTTCATTTACGTTTACACTATATTATTCCACTTGCGATTAATTAAATCTGTTATGTAAGAAACACTTTTTTAATCTCACTTGGTTGGGATTTGCCTTCAAAAAGTGATCGGAAATGGTTGCGGTATTTGTAAACAACATTTGTATAACCATATCAGTGACAGCTAGAAATAATAATCTTGATCCGAACAGCTGTTCGTTATTTCATAGATGATTATGTGATAAAAATTGGATGAAAACTTGACAAAAATCACACAAAACTGCATTTTTGAACGTTTGTAATTTTATTTACAAAGTAGTGAGGCCATATTTTAATGGCTAAAGACACTCTCGCCAATCCAGTGAATACATTAAAATGACTTGGATCTTGATAGGTACTCTCGTGTTCCTGGAGAAGATTGCGTAAAATGCCATCTTGAGTGTTACAGACAGACAGAAATTTAGATGGGACTTGTTTTGGCTTCTTTAATGTATAAAATGTAAAAATAACCTAAAAATTTATGATTCTGAGCAATGTACAGACAAAACTCTAATTTTATTTATATAGATAATCTATATATTAATTTGAAACTGTTTTTCTTTGTGACAGCTAATTTGAGAGATCGGCTGGGCGTAGAAACTCGGTAGATGTGTCTAAAGAAAGATCTTGGTTTGTAGATGAGCCATCAAAAGAGAAATTCTACCCCAGTGGCCTTTAAAATTCCATTCCCATCTCATTCTTATGGAGGAAAAAACGGGGTTTTTGTCACATCTAATTTGAGAGAACGGCTGGGCGTAGAAACTTGATAGGGGTGTCTAAAGAAAGGTCTTGGTTTGTAGATGAGCCATCAAAAGAGAAACAAGGTAAATTCCCTTGGGGCTCTGACCCAGAGGCCTTTAAAGTTCCCTCTTCAGATTTGTTTACATTACGACCATATGCATAATTTTACACTACATTTTAGTGAAACAGCTGTTAATATTTATCCTTCAAACTCTACGCAGAGGGTCGTCCCCAAGAAAATAGCCATGCTCATGAGTGTTTTGATTGCGAGAAAAGGACATAACGACACATTTCGAGGTGTTCAGATTCATTGAATTGTCAAGGCACCAATTCATCACTGCATTTATGGATGACTGAAGACGAATGAAGTCTTGAGCACTGGAGGTCTCCAAGAAAAGTTTTGCATCATCAGCGAACAGAAGGTACTCAGAATCTAAGGCGTTGCCAATGTTATTTATAAATAAGTTGAATATGAACTGTAAATATGTATCAATACCACAGTTTTCCAATTTAAATGAAGACTTTATTTTTTAATGTTCTGCTATTGAACGTGTGGATTTTAATTCAATTTTAATTTCTATTTATACAGTACCAATTGGCAACATAAGTAAACAATTTTTAGATAGACTTTAAAATCTATTTCTGATAATACAGAAAATTTAAAAAAAATACCGTTTTGGTAACTGGAGATTTTAACATCGACATTTTAACAAATGACACATTCAATAGGTTTGAAGAAATTTTTGAATGTAATGGTTTTTGTTTTCAATTTGAGGAGCCAACCAGAATAACAAATACTTCATTTAATTGTTTAGATAATTTTATCACACCCAAAACGTTTAGTTGCTATTGCAGGTTTTTTAGGTTAAACACTGAGTAAGGTCTTTCTGATCACAATGCTATATTTATAAACCTCCCTAAGCTTGCCAAGTGTAAAACCATCAAGATTACTTCTAGTTCTTTCAAGAAAAGAATCATCTGTGATAGAAATACAGATGAATTTTGCAAATATCTACAGAGCACTTATTATAATTTTGTATTTAAACCCCAATGAAAATTACAATAGTTTTTTTGAGAAATTTTTTATCATCTTTCAATCATATATTTCCTGTTAAATTATTAAAAAGGAATGCTAAAACTAATAAATATACTTCTTTGAATTGGGTGACCCAAGGTATAAGAATTTCCAGTAAGAGGAAACGAGAATTGCACTTGGAAGCCAAGTTTAGAAGGTAAAAGCCAAGAGTTTAAATATCCTATGTCAAACAATAAAAAAATATTTAATAAAGTTATAAAAAATTCAAAAATTCTCTCAAATAATAACCTAATTAGAAAATCTGAAAACAAATCTAAGGCAGCTTGGCAAATTGTTAACAATGAACTGGGCTTGAACCGTACCTACTCAAAGAGACAAAATTATTTTAAAAGATGATACAAACCAAACCACTGTTGACAACCCTGATAATGTAGCTAAGCTTTTTAACAGTTTTTTTCTGTAATACAATTATTAATCTGAATGTAAAAAAGGCTTCTGTCAATGGTGTTCATTCGTCTGTAAAATCATACTGCATTGATGGTGGGGTTACATTGTGCAATCTTAGTCTCACTAATAAAGATGAAATAAAAAAGGTCATCCTTTCTCTAAAGAACAAAATTTCAGTGGGCTGGGACGAATTCCTATTAAACTGGTCAAATCTGCAGCTGACGTTATCTCCGAACCCTTATATTTTATTATAAATCAGTGTTTAAAGAATGGTATTTTTACGGATCAACTCAAGTACTCCCAAATTTCTCCCATTTTTAAGAAAGGTTCAAAATCAGATATTAATAACTACCGCCCAGTATCAGTATTAAGTAATTTTTATAAAATATTTGAAAAAGTAATAAGCTGTAGACTAGTTAATTATTTTGAAAATAATAATTTATTTTACAATAAACAATTTGGTTTCCGAAAAAAACTTAAGCACAGTTTCTGCTCTCACTCTGTCTGTTAATGAGATTGCAGAGGCCTTGGACAGGTCTCAGGCCACAGCGGGTGTTTTCTTTGACCTGTCTAAGGTTTTTGACTGTGTGGATCACTCACTCCTGTTGCTGAAACTTAATGATTATGGGATTGGGGGAAGTTGCTTTTCTTTAATACAATCTTACCTTTCTGAAAGAAAACAAAGAACTTTAATTTTAGAAGATAACAATAAACATTTTTCACCATGGGAAATTATATCCACAGGTTTTCCCCAAGGCTCAGTATTGGGCCCACTTTTTTTTATTATTTATATTAATGATCTTCCAAAGGCTATTAAATAAAGAACTAATTCTTTTTGCCGATGACACTACTGCTTTGATAAAAAATAATAATACAACTGAAATGTTTTCTTCTCTGCAAGGTGTGTTAAAGGATATGGAGCAATGGTTTTTAGAAAATGGGTTAAAACTTAATGTTGAAAAAACAAATATTATTAAATTTTCTACTAGACACAAAAATATGGAAAAATGTTCTTTTAATTTAGTTGAAGCTCATAAATTCTTAGGGGTTTATGTAGATGACGTAGTTAAATGGGATTCACGTTTGAATTATTTACATACCAAAATTAGGTTGATATCATCTGTTATTCATACATTTAAGGGACTGTGTTTCTATTGAGACACTTCAAGTTGTTTATCATGCTTATGTGGAGTCGTTTTAAAGATATGGCATAATTTTATGGGGTCAAGCAACTGGTATTAAAACTATATTCAGGTTACAAAAACGTATTATTCGCATTATCACCAACTCTCATCCACACAGTTCTTGTAAGAAACATTTTCAAAATTTAAAAATTCAGACATTAACGGGGTTGTACATTTTAGAATTATTAAATTACATACATTCAGTTCAAAATGAGCTACCAAAAACAATACATTTTAATCACAGGTATGAAACCCAAAATGAAAATATATTTAGACTCCCCAAACACCGTTTGACCCTATATGAAAAATCTCCATTGTATGCTGGGCTGAGATTTACAATGTGCTTCCGCCGTGCTATAAGTCACTAAGCAAAACCAAATTTAAAGAGACAATTTAGATAATTTACTTATTGACAAGGCTTTTTACTTAATTGAAGATTTTTACAGAACTTCAATTTAGAACATTTTTTTTTATTTATTCATTTTAAAGCCCGGTTTCCCCAACTCATTTAAACTTAGTTTTAAGTTAAACAGCGATTTAGACTTAGTTTATCTTTGATTTGTGTTTCCCCAGATTTAAACTAGGTATTAATCTAAGTTCAAACTAAACCACCTCTCGACTTTTTTTAACTACTTGGGATAAAATAAACTGAGTTCAAATTAGTAAATTACAACAGTAACATAACCTCAAATCAAAACAAAAAGTAGGTGTTAAAACAATAATAATTGAAGCAACTACAAATTCATTTGAACAAAAGTAGGTTTGGTTTGGTTTAGGGCTAGCTTATAAGTTAAGTTTTATTTATATTTTAATTTACTGTTTTTAATAAGTTATTTTTTTACATTTTATTTAATTTCAAGTTAGGCTACTATTAATTGCAGTATTTGCCCCTTAACTCAAACGGAAGAGTTTAGACATTTTCGAAGAAGTAGAAGATGAAGATTATGACACTTTAGTACCTAGAACAAGAGGTTACTGGTTTAAACCCTGTATCTGGTTAAACAGGATTTTAACACGTTCACTGATACGGACGTTCCGGAACGTCAACCGGGCCACGGCGCCAGGAGCAAAGAACGTTCTGGAACGTCACCGTTAATTGTTGGTTAACGTTTCCATCAGCCAGCTCAAGTGTCCTATTTTCTTTGCAGCTCGCGGAAACGTACTTTTCTGACAATAAAAAATATAGTTTCCCAAAATCACCACCAGGGTAGTTTAGGACAGGGCTTTGTTTCACCTCTTTCCTGCTAGATAGCGACACTACTTTACCGGCTGTAACCTGGGTAGTGCTGCTATCTATCAGAATCACTTAGTACTATGTCCAAATCCAGTTTTATTACAGAACATTGCCATCCAGTATAACTACTGTTGCTTTTACTGTAATTCAGTGTATCGGCGGCAGTGGCGAGCGTTAGTTCAGCTACTGGCGCCATCCCGGCATCTAGCGGTCAGCAGCAAAACATTTTAAATGACTGAAATAGGCTAACAAGAAACAAATTGTAAACAAAAATCAACCTCTACAGTGCACCGGTTAGAACTACGATAAAATTGGCTTCTGCTGTTTCATAAGGATGGGAAATCTACTACCGATAAGGGAGTAGGCTATGTTTTTTTCCAATTATCTTAGCTTGCTAAGCTGGTTATTGGCCTATAAATCCGCGTTCACACCAAAGTTGACAACCAAAAGTTTACAACAAAAAGTTTAACTTACGACCAATGTATTTTACAACTAAATAGCCTAAGTTAAATGTTGCTCTGAACAAATGTGAGAAAATAAGTTAGTGGAAGATTTTTTGTGGAAAATCAAAAGTTGCTCCTCACTAATTTAGAGCAACTAAGTTATGTTAGTGGTAAACTTGTTGCCAAAGAACTGCCTACTAGCATAGACAAAAAGAATTAAATATAGACCGTCAGCCGTGCTGCAGTTACCATAGCTTCTAGCGCACCAAAACGGCACATGGAAGATTTCTCAGGTGACGTTTGACGTCACTAACTGCTGACGTCACTTTGAGGGAACACCATTAGGCCGCAACATGGTTTTGAGGCATCGGCCTTGGTGGTGTAGTGGATAGCGTGTCGGGCTGATAATCCAAATGTACCAGGTACGAATCCCACTGGTAGCATTAACTTTTTGTCAACAATTTGTTTCATATCAGCAAGTTTGGTTGGTTTGGTTAGGTTATGACAGTTTAATTTTATAATTAAAAAATTATAAAATTGAATTTGAGGCATTTAATATTTTATTTTATGAACAAAACTATTTTTCAGAATAGTAAACCTTCATTCGATTTTTCCATTATCAGCACGTTTGGTTAGGTTATGACAGTTTAATTTAATAATAGAAAAATCATTAAATTGTCTGAGACGCAGCAGTTAGTGACGTCAGCAGTTAGTGATGTCAAACTGTACCTGAGAAATCTTCCGTGTGCCCCACCATCTGGCGCACACCGCTTGGGGCGGGCATGTATTTACGGCGTACACGCTACGTAAACTACAGCGGTGTGCGCCGGAACCTATGGTAACCGCAGTACGGCTGACAGTCTATATTTAATTCTTTTTGTCTATGCTACTAGGCTACAGCCTAAGTTGCCAGCTGGAGTCCACAGACAGTACAGTATTGTGTTTCATTAACTAGGAAATGGGTCCTATTAGATTGAAGGCTTAGCCTATGACAAACTAGTTACATATACATTAAACATGTTGAAATATTATCTGGGAGGGGAAGTTTTTATTGTAAAATAAGTATCATTTATAAATGTTTTACTAAAATATTGATAACTTACTGCAGGTGGACTAAGTTATCAACCTTCAGTTAATATTTACAGGTGAAATAAATTATTACACTTGGACTTTTTTGGTTATAAAATAACAACATTTATAACTAAATACAATTTTTGTTAATCTTACCACAAATTTCGTTCTCCTTTTGTAATGTTTACAGCCAATCTCATCTTCCACCTTGACATCTAAACTACCTGATTCCGCCATTTTGAAGAAAATACGACGTCTGCTTGGGCTTAGCTTATTAATGCTGAAGCTGAATGCTGTCGCTGTGCTTGTGCTGCTAGCTGCTAAACTTATCTATCTATCCTATCTACAAGAACCACAAGGACCCCCACCTGGGTCGCGTTCCGGACAGGCTCACGGGAGCCATCCTTGACGTCATATTGATGGTTCGTAAATCCATGACGTCATACTTAGTTATAAAATTAAGAAACATTAAAAAAAAATTAATTATAAATTTAAACAGTCAGTCATAACCTAACCTAACTCTGAATAAAAAATTTTAATAGTTTATATTTCCAGTTTATAAATCCTGCAAACATTAACTTTTGTCAATCAAAATTAATTGTCTTTATTATTTTGTAGTCTCAGATAAATCTACAGCCTGACCATACCCTTTGCGAAATTCACATGATTTACCTGTTCCAAAATATACAACCTCCTTCTTCAGAAAGCATGCACTCTAAAACGGTATTAATCTGTACAATAACCCATCCCGGTCCCTGAAGTTTGAATCAAACCATTCAAAGTTTACATTTGAAAGATAATCTCATTATTAACTTCTGATTAACTTCTCGTGTTACTGTGTCAAGGAGTTTTTGCAACCTGTAATAGAGGATGATAAGGTCAATTTGATTTTGTAAATAGATGGTAAGCATATTTGTATATTATTTTGTAAGTGTGAGTTTGTACTTTTTTCTGACTTAGCTAATGCAATTGTTTTGTTAATTTTTAGCTGAATAAACGAATTTGAAATTTGATCTAACCAAACTTACTGATAATGAGAAAATCGTATAAAGGTTTACAAATCGGAAAAAGATCTGTTCATAAAATAAAATTATAAATTCCTCAAATTTTAACAAAAGATGTACAGTTAAGAGTAATCGCATCCTAAGCAAAATCTTTGACTAAAAGTTTGTGTAACCTGTAGGCTTCGCTTCGATCTGGTTATCTCCTTGGGCATCAGCCGAGTACGCTATTCGCTACACCGCGAATTGTGCGTCACGGAGCGTCCCGTGAGCCTTGCATAAACTGGAACCCCGTACCCACATTGAGATAAATAGATTAACTGGAGCATAGATAAAACATACTCCGATTAGTCTATGACTGGAGTCACTACTTTCTGGTTGAACATTAGATAAAAATGTTTGTTTTCGGTGTTTCTTGTTGTTAGGTTGGCCGTGTGATCGGCTGGTGGGATGCACGAGACCTTGCCGAATTCCAACAGACCACCAACCCCAGTGTTGAAACCCGCGTGAAGTTGGCCCCACCATAATGAGCACAAATTATAAAAACATGTACAAAATTTGGTGCTGAATTTGTGCTTCTCAAAGGTATATATAAAAAATTGTGCTCAACAATAACACACCAAAAAGTTATAAAAACTGTTGGCTGGGCTAACTTCACGTCTAACCCGCCACCAAACGAATAAACAATGTATTATACATAGAAATTTAGTGCTCATGTTGAAATTTGTGCTACAACAATATATAGCTTTTATAATTTGTGCCCTTAAAACACCCGAGTAAATGAGGAAAACTGCTGACGGTGATGACGTCATCCGCCCCGCCACGTTGAGCAAATCGATTGAAAATGGTGTCATGATTTAGTGCTCATTTTGTGCATATATAAGTTTTATAATTTGTGCTCTTAAAACAACCCGAGTAAATGAGAAAAAACTGCCGCCGGTGATGACGTCATCCGCCCCACCACGTTGAGCAAATCGGTTGAAAATGGTGTCACGATTTAGTGCTCATTTTGTGCTACAACAATATATAGTTTTTAAAATTTGTACCCTAAAACCACCTGAGTAAATGTGTCATTGCTCACATTAAACATTGTAGCAGGAATTTTTTTATCTATGATTGCAGTAGAGGTTAGCAGTGTGGAGTGTGGGAACTGTTAATGGGGATTAGATTAAGGTATCTACAATCCTGAAATGCTATGAGAAGGGAGGAAAACAGGTCTATGACTTAGGAAATGGTGGAGGAAGTAGTAAGGCTAGCAGTGCAGAGTGTGGGAACTGTCTGTGGCATTTATGTATCTGCAATTCTAAAATGGTATAGAGAAGGAGGGCAAACAGGTCTACGACATAGGGAGTGGTGAAGGAAGTAGTAAAGGTGAGCACTGTGGAGTTTAGGAGTGGATTAATGTATCTGCAATAATTTGGCGGGGTGGATGATGTCATCACCGGCAGCAGTTTTTCCTCATTTACTCGGGTGTTTTAAGAGCCCAAATTATAAAACTTATATATTGTTGTAGCACAAAATGAGCACTAAATCGTGACACCATTTTCAACCGTATTGCTTAATGTGGTGGGGGTGGATGATGTCGATACACGCGGGTCGATACGTTGGACAGCCGTAGGTCTCGGTGGTGTAGTGGTTAGCGCACCGGGCTGATAATACGGAGGTAGCCGGTTCGAAACTTACCGGAGGCATTAACTTTTTGACTCGATTTTTTCATTATCAGCAAGTTTGGTTAGGTTATGATGGTTTCATTTTATAATTTAAAAAAATATATAATTGATTTTGAGACATTTAAAATTTTATTTTATAAACAGAACTATTTTTGTTATTAGTAAACCTTCATTCAAAATTTTCATTATCAGCAAGTTTGGTTAGGTTATGATAGTTAAATTAATTTAAATTTAACCTACAAATGACACGTTTTGACAGCGACAGTGATAGAGATAACAGATAACAATTTCCCACGAACAGTTCGGCTATGCACGGTATGATGCACGGCGCGGTGGTGGGCGGTGGCGGTCTGACGGCAAGGTCTCGTGTCCCTGTCCCTGTCGGCATTTGGCAGTCGTCGTCTCCTTCTCCTCGTCGCACAATTTGTTTTTCAGGATTAATTTTGCCAACAGTGTCATTTAGAGGCTCCTGATTGACTATAACCATTGACTATATATACCTACAGCATATATATAGCATATATATATATAGTCGTTATAGCATTGACTATATATACTGTAGGTATATATAGTCAATGCTATAACGAAGGTTTAGTAATTGAAAAATGATTTTTGTTCATAAAATAAAATTATAAATGCCTCAAATTCAATTTTATATTTTTTTTATTATGAAATTAAACCGTCATAACCTAACCAAACCAACCAAACGTGCTGACAATGAAAAAATCTAATGAAGGTTTATTAATCGAAAAAATAGTTCTGTTCATAAAATAAAATTATAAATGCCTCAAATCCTATTTTATATTTGTTTATTCTAAAATGAAACTATCATAACCTAACCAAACTAACCAGACTTGCTAATAATGAAAAATCAAATGAAGGCTTAACCGAAAAAAATATTTCTGTTCATAAAATAAAACTATAAATGGGTCAAATTCAATTTCATAATGTTTTAATTATAAAATTAAACCGTTATAACCTAACCAAACCAACCAAACTTGTTGATAATGAAAAAAATCCAATACAAAAAAAATAGTGCTATGGATGGGATTCGAACCCGGGTCCTTCGGATCATCAGCCCAGCATTCTATCCACTTCACCACCGAAGTCGTTTGCATCCACCGAGCTAAAATTATAACTGGAGGTAGCACTGCCATGGCAGAAGTCTGTCAAAAGCGTGTCGCTGATTTTGTTAGGTTGGTATAGCAGTAAGTTTTCTTATCATAGCAATGACATGGCTTCTTATAACTAGGTTGGTATAGCAGTGAGTATTTTTGTCATACTTGAATACTTTTAATACTTTAATAATTTTCTTTGAAATGGCGACCATACAAAGTAGGTATTTTAAGCCAAGTATAATAATAGTTATAATAATAATATGGCTTCTTATGACACCAGACTCACGCAAACATGGCGGCTGGCGACACGCATCTTTGACATTCAGTGCTACCTCCAGTTAGAATTATAGCTCAGTGTTTGCATCGACCGTATCGTCGCGGTAATGATGTTCCCTCAGCCAATCAGAAGTCTCAAAATAATACTGTAGGCAACACTTATCCTGAAATAAAAATTCAGCCTCCTCGTCTCGTCGACTCGTCGTCGTCGTCAGTCCCACTCCCACCACCAGTCGACCAGTCCCACCCACTCGAAGTCGAGATTTGTTTCTGTTCTGTTCTGTAGAGTGTAGTGTAGTGTGGTGAAGGAAGGAAAGGGGAAGGTCGTGTCCGATTCGTGCCGTGTCGTGCGTGTTGTTGATGTTCTCGTCTTCTACTGGACTTGTTTTCTGTTTTGTTTGAGTGTTGAGCAAGACTGACTGGACTGTAGTGTGCGTTGTGAGAGAAAAGTTGTCAAAGTGTTTTCTTGATTCTTTTAAAAGTCCACTTCTTGCGGTTTTCCCAAATAATTAATTATTCAAAGCGTTCAAGAAACCGAACTTGAATCCTCACAATGGCTATTAATCTATCCTTTGTGATGTTGACCGTCTTCGGCATTCAATTTGCACAAGGTAAGTCCCTAATAAATACAAGTGTACCAAAACCTTTAATCTCAGGCCTATTATGAATGATGACAGTAATTTAGATTAAAGACATTTGTTTAGTTTAGGAGCTCCAGACGAATTTTGAAAATAGCCTAGAATTTTTTTCTCATTGGGCCTATATTTTATGGCCCTTTTCCTCTGGCACTTTTGGGACACACGCGTAAATCATTTATTCAACACTTAGCAAATGTGTTTTTTTTTAAAAAGTTAAGTTAATAGCTACTTTCTGTGTGTTTTCCTCATTAAATGCCAATTTAAATACCTACCTTTTCCCTCTGGCACTTTTTCAGCAGTTGAAAACCGTACAGTGTTAGTTTATGTTGTAAAAAGTTCTATAATATATGTGTATACTAATAATGATATATACTGTACATGTTTGTAAAGCTAATGAAGTAAGGAATCAAAAAAAGTCATAAAGTTTATGGTAAAAATAATTTTTTACCTATAAACATACGTATATAAAATAGGCCTAATGTTTTTATATTTTAGCGATTTCTCGAGAAAAAAATTCACAGTACCTACTTAGTATACAACTTTTGTACCAAATTTGTTTACTTCAAACCAACATAATAATCTTGTAGTGTATTCAATTACCTACATAAAAATGTATAACATGTTAGAAATATTTTTTTTTTGTAGGTACGTAATAGGGACATAATAATACAATAACCGCAAATAAGTGTAAACTATAGCCTACAGTGTTTGCTTGTGTTGTGAAACATTATGTAGGCTGATGATATGTAGCCTACATATTTGTAAAGCTAATGAAGTAAGGAATCCAAAAAAGTCATAAAGTTTATGGTAAAAATAATTTTTTACCTATAAACATACGTATATAAAATAATGTTTTTATATTTTAGCGATTTCTCGAGAAAAAAATTCACAGTACTTAGTATACAACTTTTGTACCAAATTTGTTTACTTCAAACCAACATAATAATCTTGTAGTGTATTCAATTACCTACATAAAAATGTATAACATGTTAGAAATATTTTTTTTTTGTAGGTACGTAATAGGGACATAATAATACAATAACCGCAAATAAGTGTAAACTATAGCCTACAGTGTTTGCTTGTGTTGTGAAACATTATGTAGGCTGATGATATGTAGCCTACATATTTGTAAAGCTAATGAAGTAAGGAATCCAAAAAAGTCATAAAGTTTATGGTAAAAATAATTTTTTACCTATAAACATACGTATATAAAATAATGTTTTTATATTTTAGCGATTTCTCGAGAAAAAAATTCACAGTACTTAGTATACAACTTTTGTACCAAATTTGTTTACTTCAAACCAACATAATAATCTTGTAGTGTATTCAATTACCTACATAAAAATGTATAACATGTTAGAAATATTTTTTTTTTGTAGGTACGTAATAGGGACATAATAATACAATAACCGCAAATAAGTGTAAACTATAGCCTACAGTGTTTGCTTGTGTTGTGAAACATTATGTAGGCTGATGATATGTAGCCTACATATTTGTAAAGCTAATGAAGTAAGGTATCCAAAAAAGTCATAAAGTTTATGGTAAAAATAATTTTTTACCTATAAACATACCTACGTATATAAAATAATGTTTTTATATTTTAGCGATTTCTCGAGAAAAAAATTCACAGTACTTAGTATACAACTTTTGTACCAAATTTGTTTACTTCAAAACCAACATAATAATCTTGTAGTGTATTCAATTACCTACATAAAAATGTATAACATGTTAGAAATATTTTTTTTTGTAGGTACGTAATAGGGACATAATAATACAATAACCGCAAAACCGCAAATAAGTGTAAACTATAGCCTACAGTGTTTGCTTGTGTTGTGAAACATTATGTAGGCTGATGATATGTAGCCTACATATTTGTAAAGCTAATGAAGTAAGGAATCCAAAAAAGTCATAAGTATGATGGTAAAAAGTTATTTTCACCTATGATTATGTATCAATTTGAGAACGTTTTGAATTTTTTGCGCATTTCCAGAAAATAGAGTGTACAGTATTTAGTAGCCTATATAATTTTTTTACCAAATTTTTTACACCCAAACCAATATAAACATGTTGTAGTGTATTCATTTACCTTTATAAAAATGTATAACACCTTGGGTAAATCATTATATAGCATATATAGCACCTCTGAATGTCAGAATCGTCATTTTTGAACATGATGCTAACAAAATACAGTAGTAGGCCTATTTAGTATAGGCTATAACTTTTTACAAAATTTTTTACCCCCAAACAATTATAAACATGTTGTAGTTTATTCATTTACCTTTATAAAAATGTATAACACCTTGGGTATATCATTATATAGGTACAACAATCTCTGAATGTCAGAATCGTCATTTTAGGACATGATGCTAACAAAATACAACCTTTTATGAACACTATTTCACACAATTCAGTAATATTTATGCATGAAGATTACTGTTATACACACACACAACACTTCACTAACACTACGAAACTAATAACATATTTAGTAATAAATCGTGGATAAAACTATTACCGGCAACAACACAAACAAACAATGGCAATACAAGATAGCTGACAGACTGTAGCAGTAATGACTCACTTGTCGTCTACATGCGAGCATACAGAAATAACCCTGAGTGCAGGGCTGCCACTCTCTGAATCTAAATTTCTTCCTCTTCAAAATGATATACTATATGACTAGTAATAATAACTTTCACTGTATATAATTCGTATTTTCCATACTGTCACCAGACGACTGTTGGCCATTTGTTAGAAATTTCAAAAACAGCTGTTTTCATAAAATCGTACTGATTGTGCAATCAATATTTAGTTATAAATATCACTACCACAATGAAGATAAAATCAATGGCTATCCAGTGGTACCACCCGCAACATCCCAAGACGAAAATTACCCGAGCAGGGTAATGCCAAACAAGACGTGTTTTGCCAGTTCCCAAGTGTCGGCTGCAAAAGTCGTACCGCGCCAAAATTTCATTTGATTTCTAATCGTCGTGACATTGTTATATACCTGCTACAGGGATTGTTTATGTAATCAAATGAAAGTTCAGAATGTGATCTTTCGAATGGTATATATATTATTCTCATCTGAGTTGATTGTAAGTGTTTTTTTACCGTTAAAAAAATTTCGGCCCATACCGTCACCAGACGACATTGGCCATTCTAAGCATCAACGTCATACCGTCACCAGGCGACGGTTGGCCACTGCTAGGGTTAAGTGTACGCCTGGGGCAAGTGGACTTCCACCTAACTTAATAATAAATTTGGGTATTTATTCCGTATAGGTGCCTCCAAACAAATTTTTTATTTTTATATCTTACTTTATAGTTTTTTACCTCCTGAATCCAAATGGCCTACCATTATTCCATTATATACCATTTCACCGCTCTAATGAATATTTCTCAAGATATCGCCGTTAAAACATACAACATTATACGATAAACAAGGTAGAATGGATAAGTTAACATTTACAAGTGGAATGAACTGGGGGTAACTAAGCCTACAGCTGACTGTTTTCAACCACACGACAAGCAACTGGAACTGGAAGTAACAACTTTTGAACTTTATTAACTCACTCTGAATTATGCCTTTGACGTCATTTTACTTACAACTAGAACTCAAAACAAAAATACTCATACTCATATCATGTGCTGTGTAGTGCTAGTCAGCTACGCCGTTACAAGTCCAGGGTCCAGGTTAAGTGAAGAAAGTAACATGGTTGACGAGAAGAAGAACATCGTTGATTAAACATGATAACATCGTTGTAGAAACATTTCAAGTGATTCTGTAGTCAATAATGTTTTCTATAATAGTAATTTCGTCACATTATGGAGATATAGATGAACTGGTGGACTAATTACATACTGTAGTTCTTATTCAGGTATGACAGGTTGGTAGGTCGTGCTGTATGTGAATTGGTGACTGCATTAAGTTTTTTGAAACTAGGTTAGATTAGGAAGGTAAAGTTTTGGTTATAATGTATCGAGTTGTTAGTTTATGTCGCCTGCAGACTGTTTTTGTAAAATTAAAATCCTGAGAAAAAGTTTTTTCCCCATAGTGTTCTGTTCCCATAGTCCGATCATGCTGGTTCGCGAACTCGTTCGAATAGACGTAGGTTTACACGTTTGTACCAAATTTCATCAAAATCGGATGATTTTTGCTCGAGTTATCCGGCTAATGGACACACACACATATTTATAAAGACCGCCACACTTCTCCCCACCGCCGGACGTATAGAAGGCAAGGTTTCATTAATATTAGATCTATTAAACACCATTTGATTGAGGTTTTTTGATTGACTATATGTGACCAAAATAAAGATCCAGCAGGACCAACAACCATCTTAAAAAAAAATGAGAAAGAAAATCCTTGGGTGGCCATAAACAAAGTTTTGAGAAAATTAAATCTCTTGGAACCGACAACAACCAATGTGAAGGACATACAACATCACCCCCCAAACTGAATGAAGCAATATTTTAACTTTTTTATGAGCACAACCAAAGTAGAACAAAAAACACTAAACAAGTAAAAAAAGTTGTATATAAAGTTGTTATAAAAGTAGTTTTATAACAAGTATAAAAGTTGTACTTTAAGAACATGTTTTTCAAACAGCTTTTGTATGTGAAATTTCCAACATTCTTTATTAAAATAAAAGTGGTTCAATAAATGTATAAATAAGCTAAAATTATTTATTGCAAAAAAATGTGTGTAAACTGAATTTAAAAAATTGGTGTAAGTTAAACCTGAATGAAAATAATCAGATAAAAGTTTTCTTCTTCTTTTTAAATTTCACAAAGACAAGACATTTGAAAGAAAAAGCTATAGGCCTACATTACTTTAAAGTAGGGAAGTTTATATTAAATAAGATAATTACTTAGGCCCTATACCTCTATAAATTAATCTTTAAGCTACCAACAGTACTTAGCTGCCTTGGCCGAGCTTATGGGTTTATTGTGATTTTCATGATGTTTGTTTCCCTTGTCTGTGCTGTAACTTAGCAAGTAAATCTCAAAGATGAAATTCTTAAAGCAGTATAAACAATTAAAGAGGGGTTTTGGGTACAAATTTCAGATTTTTAAACTTTCCCTACAACAAAAATATTTATTGAGACTCAAAATTGAATTTTTCAAAAAAATTCTGTTTTTGAAAAATGATAACTTTTAAAGGAATTAAGTCTCAGGGTTGATATTTGAAACACAAACAGAGTTGCTACACACAAAAAAGTCAAGTCTGAGATTTTATTCGTTCCAACGGTTACACCTTCAAAAGTTGAAACTTTTCCGTTTTCTTAAGAACTCATGAGATTGGTTGAATAGGCCTACTGTTTTTGATACACATTTCAATAAACAATTATTTAAATGAAAACTACTGTTCCGAGCTAAGACAACAATTGGTATTGCCTCAAATGAGGACATTAAATATGCTTCCTTTCAATACCTAAATCGTTTCTTAAATATGAAAAAAACTGTTTTTATGCGTAGGCTATTTGACATTTTCAAAATAGTTTTTCTCAAAATGAACCCTTTCCATTAGCAAAATTTCACAGTCCTATTTAGCATTAACAAAAAAAATCGTAGATGCATGGGACCTTTATTTAATTGAATTATGTTTAGACATAGCCTATTATGTAATGTTTAATGGCGAGATAAACAATTTGAATTTGACTTGCACCAAGTGATTCGGAATTTAATAATAAATTCAAATATAAGTTATATTAACTTAATATCTAAAACTCCCAACAAGAGGTCCCTATTCGCTTTCCACATCACAAGTTATTTGGGCCTAAAACCACTTCGGATAGCCTTAGGGCTCAGATAGTCGAGAGTTTAAATACTGTACTAACTTATTAGAGCTTCAAAACAGAAAAAATAGTTTCCATGGAAGACGATATTATTTCCTTGGATAGAATGGAGAAGCTTGAATTACTTTTAAAACATAATCGTTAAAGTTTACAATTTTTTAACGAATTTCTCTGTTAGCTATTGCCGTAGGTAAGACCTAGGCCCGGGACTGATTTACTTTTTAATTTTGATGTCCCCAGAGGCCAAAAACACCATTCGTTCAAATTTTTATATTTATGGATACGTCCGTGATCGTTGATATGAGATATCATTGATCGTAGGTTTTTCTTTTTTTCTTTAGAGAGTCCATTCACAGGAGGTACTTTAATGGCTGAAGACTGAAGTGTCCATCGTAAAACCCTTTTTTCAAAACATATATACCGGTAACCTTAGTGAAACTCTTCCAATCCCAAAAATGCAGCTTTGGTAAGGACCTTTCCAAGCTGATCTTTAGTAAAAAAAGCCATTGAACCTCAGATAGTTCAAGCTTCTTAGTACCTATTCAAACAGGCTAGACGACTAGTTTGAAATCAAAAAAATCTTCCGGCTGTATTTAAGTCTTTCAGGAAAGGGGTTTTTGTCTCTGGCCTCTACCATGACTTAAATTAAATCATCTGCTGGGGGTTGTTTTGCAGTATTCATGCCCTGGTTTCCTTCATAGGATAAACCTACTGTATGCTTTGCCTTTTCTTGGATTTAGTTTCATAGCATCCTTCACATTTTTTCCCACTTTTTCCTGAGTTTGTTTGAGACACTACAGCTCTTACTTCCACTGCAGCTCCACAGCAAAGTCGGGACTGTTCATTTCACTCATTGTAACTTTTTAATGGACAAATAAACAATAGTAAACGTTGATCTTAACACAACAACACTTCAGTCTGCATAAAACGTAAAGAAAGCAACAGGTGCCGGGTTGTTCCTTAGCTTGTATTTCTTATATTCCACATAGCACACATTTCATTTCAGCGCTGCGTTCAGTTGACACTCAGCCTAAGCTATCTATCAGAATTTTTTGGAACTATAAAGGATTTTTTCACTAAATAGTGTGGTTATCATTGTGTTTGACATTGGTTTATAGCACACATTTTAATACTTAACCACAAATGTGATTTTTTTTGCGCTTAGCACGGTTTTCATTTCACCTCTTCATTAAAGGAGTAAAATAGAACTTTGGCAGCAGCGCTTCCTATGAGTGGCTAATTCAACAATGTTCTTTTGTAATAGAACAAGGATACAACTAGTCCATATAGAAGGGATAACTACTTCAGTTTTCAAAAGTAAATGGTCAAATATATTGTTTGAGCCTCACACGTTCCATAAAAAACCTTAGTGTATATTAAATGGAAATTAGGTACAGTTGTAATGGTAATTGTTTGATCATTTACTATTTTTTGTAGTTTAGGTGCAGTGGTAGAAAATTATGGTTATGGTAGATGTGTAACTATTTCATAGGTAGGCCTATAGTAGATTCAAAGAACCAAATTGTCCAAAACCGAGTCCTCCCTCATTGCAAACGCAGAACACGAATATAACTGCAATAAACGTGTTACACTTGAGTATGCCAAATCCATGTGAAGGTCGGGTACTTTGTTAGCATAAAATAAATCTTGTGCCTACAAGGATTAGCAAAAATTTCACGCAGTTGGTTTAGTGGGAGTTCTAATTTAGCATGAATTTTTAGATGTTTGGCACTATATCTATCACATAAAGTTGCTGATTTTGAGTTCATTGAAAATAACAGCTTACATTTTCCACTCATTTTAATTAACTTAAGCTCCATGAGGTGAACTGTTGTTTTTCAGCCATGGACTGCTCGCTGGGTACCAGTAAGAATGTGATAGAACAGCTGATCAGGACGTGTCCGCGACCCCTCATCGACTCCGAGCAGGAGTCGTACTGTTGCTGGAGTCCCAGCGGAGACCGAGTCACCTGTTGCAATCTCACGGACTTTGTGTTTAACAGGTCAGTTTACTAATCAACTCCAACGCTAATTTTAGCATGAAATTTAAAGTTGTTAGTGTGGTATTTTATCAATGGTAAATAACAATAGGGATTTTTCCGTTAATTCACTACCACCTTGTTTTAGCGAATTTCCCTATAAGTAGCTATTACCGTAAGTCTCATTGTAAGACTTGAGCCCGAGACTCAGGTACTCTTGTAACCTAATGTTATTTAAATAGATTTACTTGTATATAAATTCAGGCAAATGGAAATAACTTAGACCGTAACTTAGACTCACCGTAACATTACTTCACTCTGTCTTCAGATGACGTAAAAAAAAGGCTGCAGTCAAAACTAACCACCCTTCTTCGAAACCATAAATTCATTATGACTTACAAATTACTTTGATTACTATTGGCTTGAGTGAAAGGATGTTTGAGTTTTGTATTAAGCTACAAAAATATTGTTTTATAATTATCGCGGCTAATAATGTAAAAAATAATTTTCAAAGCTTTCTTCTGATGGCATATAAAAAATACTTGCTTTTTTACAACAAACTAAGTTATTATTCCATTAAATTTTAGCCTAAACTACAGGTGTATAAGAAAGAACCACTGTTGTAAAGTAGCAATTAGCATATGAATGGACATACTTTGTTGCTATCTGAATCAAACAATTAAAAACACCCTCTGAGACACTTTTGATATTGCATATGCGTGTTGTTATCAATTAAGCCTAGAATCTAGTTACCAAATAAATTCATTTGTCTTTAATTTAAAATTCATTTAGGTAGAATAATTCCTCCCAGTTGTCAAAAAGTTACTTAAAAACAATGGCAGTTGGAAAGGTAGCAGCAGCAAGAGTAGCAGCTGGTGTAGACCAGACCTACAGGATAGGGTGGGGGAAGGGGGGAGGTATTCAACAGTTGTGGTCTTCATAGCCATGACATCATTTCACCATTGTGTCCGTCTCAAGGCCACATACACCAGACGTTTGCCTGTTCAACTTTGTGTTTTTGGCACATTCTGACTGTCATTTTGACTTTTGAAAGATTTTGCAAAAATATTTTACACTCACTACAATAATTTTATTTATTTTTTATATAATACAATAGATTGGTTTGGGAACCAGCTTGATATGTTTTTGAATGAGTTTTGAAAGACTTCAAACATATATTTTGACCTTTCAGTTCAGATTAATTATACTTAGAACTAGACACAATATTGTTAGATTTCTTCCGTTTGTTCATTGAATTTAATTTTTGCCCTGCAAGTGTTTTATTGACTATTTCCTTTCACTCTAAGTCCTATAATGTTGTCGGTGGAAATTTAAAAGACAGTTCTGAATCTGAACACAGTGATGACATTTAGTCATTATGGCTATCAATTAAAATTAATGATGCTGACTAATGAAAGCCATTAGATAGTAAAATTCAGATTTAAAATGTTATCTTGAAAAAAATCTCCAGACAAATTGGAAATTGGATTGACATTTTTTTAGCTTCTGTTTGAATTCATTTTTATATTTCCCCTTTATAAAAGTTGATAAATGTTGCAAAAAACTTAGCATACTGCTTAGGTTTTCTTTTTAAAAAAAAAAACATCTCAGGGTTTGCTGTGATAAGTTTTATTTTAAATTTAGGTTACAGTCAGAAGTATTTTGTATGACCAACTCATTACATTAAAATCCAAATATGAATTAAATTTTACTTAAACTTTAATACCAAGGGTGGTATTTAATAAATATTAAAAACTTAACTAGGCTATTTAAGACTAAGTATGTAGGCCTATCAAAATTAAAAGTTCAAAAATTTGTTTTATGTAGATTAGTAGTCACAACTGGTATACAAGGCCTTATGTCCAATGACAATTTTTTAATTTTCAAAACTCATCCACCTGTCAGAAGAGAAAGTGTTAAAAGAGAAATCACTCAGATGATTTTGTCACAGTGTTACCAAAACACAGCGTAGGAAGTTAGAAAGTGAATCGTGGGATTACCAAGTTACCAAGGACATCGGTCGCTGCCCTTGGCACAAAACGTGTCCGGGACCTTATGTGAACCAATTATGACTTACTCATTAATATATTGAGTTGTCCAAAGAGTTGCCAAAAATAGTACATATTACGGTTACATACATATTATTCTGATTTTAATAGTACATTAATCGTAGATTTTCTAATGTTGTAATGTAAATGTAACTAAACTTTATTAGAAAATTGACACATACCCTCTTTTTCTTGTAAATTATTGTCACCAGGGTGGAACAATGCTGATATATATTAATTTTTATTAAAGTACTTTTTCAAACAACTAGGAGAATATAAAACTGTAACAGGATAAAAACATCTTTTTTATGGGATTTTACAAAGATCATGAGAGTCATAAAGCGTTTTAATAGTTGTAAGTCTATGTTATAAGTCATCATCATCATTGTTAGTATAAATCATAATAGTTGCACAAAATATTTCCTCTACCAAAACCATTACAAATAGTCTTCATAATCCCTTTTTTGACTGAAATTATTTTTAGCGAATTTCCCATATAGGGAATAAGCTATTACCGTAGGTCTCATGGTAAGACCTAGACCCGGGACCGATTTACTTTTTCGTTTTGAGGTCCCCAGAGGCCAAAAACAATATCCGTTCAAATTCATATATTTATATATGTGTCCGTTAGCGCGATAACTCGAGCAAAATTGATCCGATTTTGATGAAATTTGGTACAAACGTGTAAACCTACATTTATTCGAACGAGTTCGCGAACTAGCATAATCGGACCATGGGATCAGGGGTTTATGGGGGGTTTTATGGGGTAAAAATGGGTTTTTCTCATTTTTGACCCTAAAAACTTTAAATTTCTAAAATTCTCTCTAGACCATTTTGAAGAGCTTAAAAAAACAAACAATATAGTATATTGAAGTGTTATTGAATGTTCATTGACTACGGAGAAAATTTAAAAAATTGTAAATTTAAAATTCTTAGGCCTATGTTATTCTTATGGAGAATAAATAAACTGTTCTAGTTTGCTTGTTTATGGATATATTTTAATCAAATTTGGCAATTTGGTTTATTTCATACTAAGCTATCAATATTTCAATTGAAAAAACACACCTCAACATCTTCCCCGTAGCAGCAAACCTAACTAGTCACTAAAATTAATGTTATTTAAATAGGAAATAAATCTGAAAATTCATAGGGAATATTTTAGTAGAAATCAAGCCGGGTAAATGGAAATTCGCTTAGTATGCAGGTTTGCTGCGACGGGGGTATTTAAATTTGTCTACATAAAATACTTTTGACCTGCTATTCCACATAAGTCTTTTGATATTTTGTCTGATGTGACAATAAGTATTTGTTTAACTATATACTGTAATTCTATCTACAAATAGCCTACTTTTAAACATGTTTGGTCACAATTGATATTGTGGAAACTAAACCATGTAAATAATAATTGATTGTTATCTATATAGCTAAAACTATAGACTTGAAAAACACTTAATTAAAAAAAAATCTACTTATTCTTTAAGACAACAAAGCGCGCACTTTATGTGTTTTTAAGATGAATATAAACACATTATCTAAGCGCAAAATTTAGCTTAATATTCTCCTTCTACAGCATAATTACATCAATTTATTTGCCTGCAACACATAGTATTTAGTTTGCTTAGCTGATACCAGTACCTATTTCCTTTAAAGAAAAATTTGAATTTAGAAAAAATCCCACTTTATATTCGTCCCAACAATCTTCTTTGGGCATAATTAATATTGTGGTATATCATCTCACTTAGCAATTCAAATTTTCTCTAAATAAATATAATAGTCATTGATGACTGTGAGTGTTAGAATGAAAGTTTAGTACATACATGTGCTGTTGCTGTTAGTCATGGTTGTAAGAATAGGGCATGTACTCTTTCCTGTGAGAGTTATTACGTAAGCGTCTAAATAACCGTAACTGTAGGTTTGTTCAACTTCCACGTAACTGACATCAGTTTTGACGTGGTTCATGGTTCAATTATACAACGTATTAGTTTTGGTAATAAAAGCGTCAACGTTTTTGTTCAATATTTGAAACAGAAATGTTGGTTTAACCTTCATATTCATAAAGAAATTTGTTTGGATTTCCTTTTTGTTATATTTTACCACACGGAATATCAGTGTCACTGAGTTTTTTATGTGAAGCATGTTTAGGTAGTAATTAGGTAGTAATTTTTAACGTAGTAAAAATATTCATAGTTAGACCTACTTATTTATTTTGTTATCTTAAAAAAATGTTTTTTAAGGTATTTTCACTCTTATAGGTAAAATATTCACAACTGTAATTTGATTTGTCAAAGATTTTTATTCAAAGAAAAAATCGTAAATCTTAGAAATTTGTCCAATACAAGTTAAATGCTAAATTTTGCACAAGTATCCAATGTTTTTGGCGTGTTTTCTCAATTCCTTTTACCATTAGGGCCTATATGACCACAGAATATAGAGATTTGGAAGATACAAAAATTAAATCCCCCCCCCCTTATTCTATGTTGTAATTTTTTTTATAAGTAGGCCTAATCAATATAATTTTAGAGATCTGTTTATGGGTTTAAAAGAGAATATATTTTTTTCTCTGAACTAACCATCATTATACTGTATTGATGGCTCAATTCAACTATGTTCATTTTGAAAAAAAAAAAAAAAAAAACTGGTAACACATAAACTTTATGGAGATGGTGTATGTCTGGTTCTATCAGCGGTCTTTGAATACAAAAAAGCTACAACTGATATTGATGGGATGTCAAAAGTCAAAGGTTTAATAAACAACACTAATAAGCTCTTGGTCATAATCATTTGTTTGAAATACAAGGTTTATGTGGCAGTTTCATACAGCCTTAGTTCTCCAGTCTAAACAGCTGTTGTTTGTTTACAAGTCCGTGAGTTGTGTGTTGAGCTCTAGTGCTCTGTCAACAATGTGACATTGATCACTCCAGGCACATTAGCTTAGCTCCATTCCCCCCTGCCACACCCTCTTTATGTTTCTATCAG